CTCTAAATATATATATATATATATATAAAAATATATATATATATATATATATATATATATATATATATATATATATACACACATATATATATATAAATTGGGGGCAAGTAAGAAAAAAGTCTAGAGTATTTTTATGTGACAAAAGTATGCTGTGATCAGCTTAAAAGTGTCTATCATAACTACAAGAATCTTTGTGTTAGTCTCATGGTAAACCACAAAGAAGAATTTACAGCAGACATGCAAATAAGAAAGGAGAAAGAGGCTGGGCTTGGTGGCTCAGCCTGTCATCCCAGCAGTTTGGGAGGCTGAGGCGAGAGGATCGCCTGAACCTGGGGGTTCGAGACCAGCCTGGGCAACTTGATGAGACCTCCTCTCTACAATAAATCACAAAAACTAGCCAGGCTGGTGGTGTGCATCTATAGTTCCAGCTAAGTGGAAGGCTGAGGTGGAAGGATCACCTTAACCCGGCAGGTCGAGACTGCAGTGGCCATGAGTGTGCCACTGCACTCCAGCCTAGGTGACAAGAGTGATACTCTGACTCAAAAAAAAAAAAAAGCAAAAGGAAAGTCATTCTATAATGATAAAGGAATCAATTCAATAAGAGGCTGTAGTAATTGCAAATATATATGCCCCCAACACTAGAGAACCCCAATATATAAAACAAATACTATTAGATATAAAAGGAGAGACTGCAACATAATAAGAGGTGGGGATTTCAACACTCCACTTTCACAAAGAACAAGTCATCCAGACAGTAAATCACCAAAGAAATACTGGACTTAAACTGCACTATAGACCAAAGATATCTAAGTAGATATTTTTTTAACAGAACATTCCATCCAAAAGCTTCAGAGTGCAGTCTTTTCATCTGCACATGGAACGTTCTCCAGGATAGACCATAGGTTAGGCCACAAAACAAGTCTGAATAAGTGTAAAAAATAGAGATTATACCAAGTATTTTTGTTGACTACAATGTATAAAATTAGATATTTCAGAAAATTTACAAATACAGGGAAATTAAACAAATTCTCCTAAATAACCAGTGGGTCAATGAAAAGATTAAAGGATAAATTTAAAAATTCCTTAAGAAAGGAAATTCATTATAACAAAACTTATGAAACACAGCAAAACCAGTTCAAAGCAGAGCTTATAGTAATAAATACCTATATCAGAAAAGAAAAAATATTTTTAATAAATAGCAATGTGTTTCAAGGGACTCAAATACAAGAACAATCTAAACCCAAAAGTAGTAGAAGAAAGAAATAAAGCTTAGAGAATAAAAGAAGAGAGGCTAATAAAGCAATTCAAAAAATCAACAAAACAAAGAGTTAGTTTTTTACAAAAACAAAATTAACAAATCTTTAGCTATACTAAGAAAAAGGGAGAAGACTACAATAAATAAAATTAGGGATAAAAAGAAGACATCCACAGAAAAACAAAAGATCATAAAAGACTATTATGAACAACTACACAGCGACAAATTTGATAACATAAAAGATATGGGTAAATTCCTGGACACATGCAAGCTTCTGAGATTAAATCATGAAGAAATGGAAGATCTGGCAGACCCATAGCGAGTAAGAAAATTGAATCAGTTAAAAAAATCCCATCAAAATAAGCCCAGAACCTGATAGCTTCACTGCTTAATTCTACCAAACATTTAAAGAAGAATAATATCAATCCTCCTCAAACTATTTCAGGAAAATGAAGGGGAGGGAATACTTCCAAGTTAATTTCATGAGGCCAACATTCTCCTGACTCCAGGCAAGGAGACAACAAAAAGGAAAACTATAAGACGATATCCCTGATATACACAAATGCGAAAATTCTCAACAAGATACTAACAAAACAAATTCAATAGCACATTAAAAATATCCTTCACTATGGTCAAGTGGGATTTATCCCATAGATGCCAGGATGGTTCAACATATGCAAACTAATGTGGTGCGTAACGTTAACAGAAAAAAAGACAAAACCATATGACCATTCAATAGACCCAGAAAAACTGACGAAATTCAACATCATCATAAAAGCTATCAACAAATTAGACACAAAAGATGTTATCTCAGTACCAGTAAAGGCCACATATGACAAACCCATAGCTAATATCAGACAGATCAGAAATAAGAAAAGGATTTCCACGTTCATCATTTTTATTCAATATAGTACTGGAAGTCTAGCCAAAACAATTACACAAGTGAAGAAATAAAAGGCATCCAAAACGGGGAGGAGGAAGTCAAATTATCCCTGTTTGCAGACAACATGATCTTTTATCTAGAAAACCCTAAAGATACACACACACACACAGACACACACACACACACAGACACACACACACACACACACACACACACAACCTGTTTGAGCTAATAAATTCAGTAAAGTTGCAGGATGCAAAGTCAGCATACAAAAATCAGTAGTATTTCTAATATGAACAATCTAAAAATAAATTTTACAAATTCCATTTGCAATAGTTACCAAAAATATAAGATAATAAGAAGTAAACTTAACCAAGGGGGTGAAAAAACTCAATGCTGACAACTATGAAATGCTGATGAAAGAAACTAAAGAGGGCACTAATAAATGCAAAGATACTTGATGTTCATGGATAAGAAAAATTCTTATTAACATGCCCCTATTAGCCAAAGCTATATATAGATTTAATCCAATCTATATCAAAATACCAATGACATTCTTCACAGAAATAGTAACAGCAATCCTAAAATTTATATGAAACTACCCAAGACCCTGAATAGCTAAATAAATTCTTAGCAAAAGAGCAAACCTAGAGGCAATATACTACCTGATTTCAAAATATACTCTAAAGTCATGGTAACCAAAAAAGCATGGCACTGGCATAAAAATAGACACATATACCAATGGAACAGAACAGAGAGCCCAGAAATAAATTTACACATCCATATCCAACTGAATACACACTGGGGAAAAGATAATTTTCAACTGATGGTGCTGGAAAAGTTAAATATCCACATGCACAAGAATAAGACCAAACTCCTATCTCTCATCATATACAAAAATCAACTCAAAACGGATTAAAAACTTACATGCAAAACCTGAAACTATGAAACTATTTGAAGAAAACATTATGGAAACATTTCATAATTTTGGGCTGGGTAAGGAAATTTTAAAATAAGACTTCAAAAGCACAGGCAATAAAGGCAAAACTAGACAAATGAAATTACATCAAACTAAAAAGCTTTGCACAGCAAAAGAGGTAATTAACAGAGTGAAGAGACAACTTACAAAACGAGAGGAAATATATTTGCCAACTATACACCAGATGAGGGGTTAATATCCAGGGTATATAAGAAATTTAGCAAAAAATAAATAATTTGATTTTAAAAACGAGCAAAAAACCTTAACTGACATTTCTTAAAAGAAGAAAACCATATGGCCTGCAAGCCTATAAAAGCTTCTACATTAATCATCAGGGAAATACAGATCAAAACCACAATAGGATATCACCTTACTCCAATTAGGGTGGCTAGTAATCAGAAAGACAAAAAAAAGAAAAAAAGAATTTTTTGGCATGAATTTGGAGAAAAGGGAACCCTCACACATCGTCAGTAGATTTGCAAATTAGTACAGACATTTTGGAAAACAACATGGAGTTCCTTAAAAAAATTAAAATTAGAGCTACCGTCTGATCCAGCAATCCCACTGCTAAGTATATATCCATGGAAAGTGAAATCAGATATAGAATCAATGTAAGTGTACAACAATGAATGAATGACTTAATGAATAAAGAAAATGTGGTGTATATACACAATGAAATACTATTAAGCCATAAAAAAAAACAATCTTGTCGTTTGTGACAGCAGGGATCAACTTGGAGACACAAGAAGACAAATATTGCATAATCTCACTCATATGTGGAAATTGAAAAAAGGAAAGTTGATAGCATAGAAGTAGAGAGTAGAACAGTGGTTACCAAAGACTGGGGAGAGGAGGGGGAACAAAGGGATGGGAAGAGGTTGGCCAACGGGTGCAAAGTTTCCAGAAGATGGGAGGAATAAGTTCTGGTGTTTTATTGGATGGTAAGGTGACTCCGGTTGGCAGTAAGGTGTTATACATCACAAAATAGCCAGAAGAGAGGCCTCTGAATGTTCTCACCACAAGAAATGATAAATACATGAGGTGCTGGATACCCTGACTACCCTTGTTTACATGTATCAAATATCAAATTGTACCTTGCAAGTATGTACAGTTACAGTGTGTCAGTTAAAATTTTTTTAAAGAACAGCAGAACATTTAAAACTCATTTCAATCAGAATTATTTTTAAAATTATGTAAAACACAGATAGGATGCCTGAATCACTGTTTAACAGCGTGACTCTCCCTGTTTCTACCTGCCAGTTTCCACTACTGAATTCTTCATTTCCCATGTGAATTCTGAGTATCCATCCCTCTTTACTGCTTTGTAAAATGATTTCTCTGCCCAAGAGCTAGAACAAATGTCATTTTCTAACAGACAAATGCTAAGGCAACGTCCTCATAATGTAAGTTTCAGAAGTTTTTCCTCCAAGTCACATTTATGAAGAAGAAAATATAAATCATACTTCATAAAAAAATAATCTGAAAATCATTCAATATTCATCTCTCTCTCTCTCTCTCTCTGATTTGGATTTTTTGTAGAGACTGGGTCTCACTATGTTGCCCAGGCTGGTTTCAAACTCTTGGTCTCAAGTGATCCTTCGGGCTCAGCTTCCCAAAGCACTGGGATTATAGGCATGAGACACCTCACCTGGCCTCAGCAAACCTTCTTTGTTAATAAATAATGCAATAAAAAATTTTTAATATATTTTTGAGCTCTATAGTATACTCAATTTATTTTGTTTTCAGATTTATGTTCACAAAAGCCAGTCTCAGTACTAGAATTTTGGTAGTACATCAAAAGCCAAACTAACATCGGGTTTCTAACCACTAGAGATTAATCTCTAGAAAGAGATCTAGTGTGGCTTTCATGATTAATTTGTGCTTTAAACTCTTTAAAAGGCTTTGTATTAAAATTCCTAAAAATGCATGTAATATAAATGTATGCTTTATATAAATACATAACAAATTATACACTATTTATATAATTTTATACAAATGTATAATATAAATATACAATAATAAAATGTAAATATCTATGTGTAAGCACGAATCTATTTTCTAGACACACATACATAAACTTACCCATGGTTTTGGCCTACTCCTGTCAAGTAGCCATATTTGTAGAAATTGAAAACATATGCATTTAGCAGCATTCTTCTTCCTCGAGCGTCTAATTTCTGTGACCACATCATAGGAGCCTGAGTGCCACTGACACCGACTGTGCGCAGAATGGCCTGAAGAAATACATTTTAAGTTAACTTGCAAAGGGTGATTGTTTGCTGTCTGTAGTTGTTTTTTCAATGATTCCCAGTTTCTTAAAGTATGTTCTGCAAAAGATGAGCTGAAGGAGACAGACAGAGGGGGCTCCCTTGGGATCGAGGGAAACAGCCCAGGTGTCTCACACATGCCAGGCAGAGCCACATAAGCGTGCCTGGGAGTGCAGCAGCCCCACTGAGGGAAAGAGGAACCCTTACGGCACACTGAGGACACTTCCGGCCATCCAACTACCACCCCATGATCAAGATGCTCCCGCCTCAGCCTCCAGAGTAGCCAGGACTACAGGCACACACCACCATACCTGGCTCATTTACAAATAAGAAATTTGTAGAGATAGAGTCTCACTATGCTTCCCAGGCTGGCCTCTAATTCCTGGCCTCAAGCAATCCTCCCACCTGGGCCTCCCAAAGTGCATGCACCATCACACCTGGCCATCATACTTTTAATTGGTGCATAGAATGACCTTAGAAGGAGTATCATGTTGCTAGTCTCTCCTTGTGCCCACAGGCGAGACTCCAACAGAATAGCAAAAACCCTTGGCTTCCAAAGAGAAGGAAAAGTTGGAGGAGATGGAAGAGGAGAAAAGGACGACAAGCAAAACCCACAGAAACAACTCAGCCTCCACAGCTCTGAGCACAGTAGACAAGCGTTCATCTGAGTGGATCCAGGCAGAATCTGCAAACCCTGCTGGTGGGTGTGTAAAGTTAAACTGTGAGACAAAGGGAACCAAAACCTAAGTTCAAGGCATCAAATAAATGATGCAGGATTTGTAACTCTGAAATTGTTTGAGCCTGTGTTTGTGTTTTCTGTTAATTTGATTCTTCTAGGAGTCAAGTGGCTTTGGTTTCTATATTCTAGTGACTAAATTTTAAAATGATTTAACAGTTCTTTTAAAATGCCAATTTTATAACAAACCTGAAATTACAACATTATCGACTTTTTAAACTTTGGCTAACAAAATGTTGGGTATCAACCCAAACTGTGTGAGAAGACTCATCACTTTAGAAACTCCTTTTAAATGTTACCTAAAGAAAAATACTTGAAGATCATTCTTTGCAAGAGACGTGACTCTCTGACCCAGGATAAAATGGAGGTGGGCCACAGAGTCAATTGTATTACTAAATATCGTCAAAGCTAAGTGTATTTCTGACATGTCAGATTAAATGTGAAATCTGTAATCACTCTAATATTTTGTCGAGAACCTTCCAGAGGTTCTAGTGCTTGTGTCCCTTTACCGCCCTTTGCTTTTGAAGACCATTTTCCCAGAATACCCATGTGGTCTGGGGTAGAGAAAGCACTATGAAGTCTATAATCAGTTTAGGGAAACATGAGCTAATTTCTTCTGCTCTTCTCACAGCAAACTGGATATTCAGAAAGGAAGAGAGGAGAGGTGGTGTCTGAAATTTTCCACAAAGGAGCAGGGTTCCCTGGGCCAACTGCGTAGGGTGTGAAATCATACTGGCCCCCATGGTATCATTCTCTGGGACAATGAGGTTGGTATTAGTGGTATTATTCTGAGTTGGAGTCTCACTCTGTGGCCCAGACTGGAGTGCAGTGGCACACTCATGGCCACCACAGCCTCGACCTGCTGGGCTCAAGAGATCCTTCCACCTAAGCCTTCCAAGTAGCTGGAACCACGGGTGAGCACTACCACACCCGGCTACTTTTTAAGTTTATTGTAGAGACGAGATCCTGCCGAGTTGCCCAGGCTGGTCTCAAACCCTTGGACTCAGTCGGTCCTCTCGCCTTGGCCTCCCAAAGTGCTGCGATGACAAGCTGAGCCACCGCGCCCGGTCTAGGGGCCATTTTTCAGTGTTTGGCATTTGAGGTCCTACCGAAGCCCTAGTGCCAGCCTCTCTGCTAAACACGTTTTTGTCCAGAGGATGCGCCCTTCACTTACATGGTTGATAGTTTCTGGTCGAAGCAAATCCCCGTTTGTGTTCCCCGAGAGACAAACAAATGGTGAAATGGCTCCTCTTCCTTCCCTGCAGCTCATCAGGTGAGACACAAGTTGAGAGTCTTCACTTTCTGTACCTGTGAATTCTGACCATTTTGAACCAGGTCACTTTCAGCTTTAAAGATCAGCCCAAGTTTTACCCCGTTCAACTTAACTATAGGTCATGTCACCGTGGTGGACACCCATCTGCCTGTCAGCAGACAACATCAAAAAGCCTGACTGAGCTCTGGTGCGTAAAGTGATTGACTCAGCTTGACATAGAGCAGTCATTCAATCCTTGCTGGCTATTAACTTCTAATCATTGCTTTTATTACCATCTGTTATTTTTTCCTACAAACTCAGATGCAACCTCCAAATCCTCTTAGACACAACGTTTGGGCTGCTACTACCAGTGGGTTTGGGCTGGCATGAGCGATAAGACACATGTTTCATCCCACTTCTAGGGGCCATCTCTCTTGACTTGGCAGGCCCCAGGCCACATGCTCAGGCCTGGCTCCTCTTGATGATGGAGCCACATCTTCACAGCCCATCATCTTTCTCTGCAGTGCTCTCCCTGTTCCACCCTGATTGTCTCCTTTTCTGTGTTCAACATCAATGTTTTGAGGAACCACAGTATACATCCTTCCCCTTCACGCCAACTAAGAATATATTAGGCGGTAGGGAAATACAGAAATTACTTGATGACCCTACTCTTTACTCTTGTTCTAGTTTCCTCTTTCCACGTATTCTCCCCTAGATGTTTTCTGCTCTAAATTAAAGAAGAAGAAGAAGAAAGCAAACAATAATATTTAGAATGTCCAATAGAACTTTCTGCAATTATGGAAATATCCTGTCTCTGGTATATTCAAAGTGGAAGCCAAATGCAGCTAAGGTGACTGAAAAAATTAAAATTTTTAATTGCTTTATTTTAATTCATTTAAATTTAACTAGTGGCAACTGGCTAGTAGCTACCATATTGGGTAGAATAGACTTATAGAATATTTACTATGGCCGTAAACTATTTTAGAAACTCTATAAACATTAATACACCCAATCCTCCAATAATACTGTAAACTAGGTCATAGTATTCCTTTCACTTTAGAGATAAAAGTGAGATACAAAGAGATTAGGTATCTGGCAAGAGATCTCATGGATAAAAGTAGCAGACCTTAGTACTCTGCTTTCAGAGTTTACATTTGTAACCTCTATACCACCCTAGCTCTCAGGGGCAAAAACATGGCAGAAATTGTGCCTATTTTCTTTTTCATCTGGTAAATTTTCTGACCCAACTTTCTGGCAACCTTCAATCAAGACAATTCATGGGTGATTTTTAATTTTTCCTCCATTGCCCAATCAATGTTTGGTAATCATAAAGTTCCATGACTTGAAAAACAAGCCTTGCCACATTCCATGATAGGATAAATTGTACTTTGGGGATAAAATACTTAGGTTAATAGAGCTGCTTTGTAATCAGCTTCTTCTACCAGCTTTGAGGCATCCAATATCCAGAGGCTTTCTCAGCCAAGATTCTTTACTCTTTTAAATTATTCCAGAACAGAACTCAAAACTTGCTTACTGATTCTTGACAAAGGCAGTTGATACTCCTTTCTCATGTTCACCGACTTGGAGGCAATCAGTAGGAAGGAAGCAAAATCCTTCCTCACTTTCAAGTTATACTCATGTAAAGCGGCCTTAAAATCCTCCGGGAGTTCATCAAGGATCACCTACAGGCAAGATATTTTTTTCAAAAATGTCTCTTTGCTCTTGTTCTAAAAATTAAACTGTTGGATTTAAAAGATAGCAGCATTGTTCTAGATTAATGCTCATTCATCAAAGTCATTGATTACATTATTCACTTGTGAGATTAAGGCAAAATTCCTTATGTTTTAATCAGTCTTTATAAATGCAAATATATTTATTTCTACAAAGTTTCTTTGGCTTCATCTTGTCAAAACCACCCTTTAAAGGGCTGGATCAAAAAAAAAAAAATGTGGTACATATACACGATGGAATACTATGCAGCCATAAAAAAGAACAAAATCATGAATTTCGCAGCAACCTGGATGGAACTAGAGTCTATAACACTGAGTGACCTCTCACAGAAACAAAGATCCGAGTATCACATGTTCTCACTCATATAGTGGACCTTGAACATCTATCGTAATACTATAAGAAAAGAATTGACAGTGGTGGGAAACTATGGAGGGGCAGGGAGGGGAAGGGAGGTGGGATTAACGGTAGTCAATATCTGTCTGAGAGCGGGCAGACACCCCTTATCAACAAGGGTGACTGCGCAATGCATATTTGTATACCTAACCCTTAACTGTACCCCACAATTTTATAATAAAAAATATGTTTAAAAAATTTTTTTAAAAAGCACCCTTTAAATAGAAACATGCCATGAGCCTTCTTAAAACTTGTGTATATTTCAGGGGCTTGAGGAACATACTTAGAGAGCAAATAACAAGTTAGTGTAGCAATAGCAGCCACAGTTAGCTACTGAGTTCAGAACGCTTACACTGTGCTATGCTGTCCCAAGCACTTGCACATGTGAACTAAATTAACCTTAAGAACAACCCTATTCGGTTGGCATGTTCATCTACATTTTGTATATGAGGGAGCAAAATCTCGCAGAAGTAAACTTGTTCTAAGTCACACAGGCAAGTAGGTGGAGAGGTAGCTGGTATTGCCAGCTAACTCATCTTCCAAATTTCACACTTAAAAACAAATTATTCCAGAATGAGGATTGGGAGTTTCTTTAGTATGGGCTGGAAAGAGCTATGACATTAGATATGTTCTTGGTTTTCTCCTATTACAGTTATGGTTTTCATTATTTATTTGGCGTTTTCTTTCATGTATTTATATGCTGCACTTTTCTGAGAACTGAAGTATTTTATAAGAGTGATGACAATACCATAAGAACATATAACTCAAAGTAGGGTAAAAAGGAAAGAAAAATAGAAACGAGAACCTAAAATGAGCCACAGAATGTATTCTAAGGTTCCTAGCAGGTGTTCTTGGTTTTGGTTTTGTCGTTGTTGTGCATTTTTAAAAAATTTTTTGAGTTGGCCTCTCACTCTGTCGCCCAGACTGGAGTGCAGCGGCCGCTCCCGGCCACCGCAGCCTTGACCGCTGGGCTCCGGCGATCTTTCCGCCTCAGCTTTCCAAGTAGCCGGAATTACAGGCATGTGCTATCACGCCTGGCTCATTTTTGATTTATTGTAGAGATGAGGTCTCGCCAAGTTGCCCAGGCGGGTCTCGAACCCGCGGGCTCAGGCAATCCGCTCACCTCAGCCTCCCAAGGTGCGGGATTATAGGCTGAGCCACCGAGCCCGGCTTGTTGTACATTTTTCAACTAAAAAACTAGAAATAAGAAATGTTGCAAATAAACTTAGAAAATAACCTTTCTGCTTTTAGTCTCCCAAATAACCCTTGAGTTAGTGGACTTTTTTTGAGTTGACTACCTCAAAATAGTCTCAAAACAACATTAGAGCTCATAACCTAATATTTTGCTTGCACTCCCACCCCTAGGTGGAAACAATCTCAAAGGAAGTATGGGTTTGGCAATAAGGCTGATGTTTTATTTAAATGACGATTTGTGTACACTTTTCCCGTTGCTACTGAAGAAGTAATTTGCTCCAATAAAATGAAAAATGTTAGATAAGAATTGTCTGTTATATTAGCAGGAGAAAGCTGTGTGGATTACAAAATTAAATAGAACTCTAATTATAGAAAGACCAACTTCATATTAGGAAAACAGATGGAAAAGTTTATATTGCTTTAGCCCTATAGGTCCTGGTGACTTTCCAGTAGTATACATTTAATAACTATTATTATTACATCATTATAAGTATAATAAACCTTACCTTTGATTGAGAATAACTTAAATTAGCATCTCGGAATTTTGCTGGGATATATTTTCTTCCAAACAGATTTGCCAGTACTAACACGAGCTTTTCCATCACATCCTGAGAAAACTGTTGTGAGCCTATCCAAATAAACGATATCATTGCAAACAAGGAAAACGCTGATTCTATATATTTCGTGCTTTGATCTGATTTTAGATCGCATTTCCTTTCATTGGAGGCAAAACGTTCTCGCCAACATACGCCTCAGAAGCAGGTCGCATTTGCCTTTGTATGTGCCCATTTACTTTTAAGCGAAGGCAGGCAGTGATGTATTCTGTCTTCTTTTCCCAGCTCGCTACATTCTCACTGTCTCCCACCCCAGAGTGCCCCTGGGCTGGTGACCTGACTTGCACGCTTCCCCCTTCAGGCCACCTTGAGAATGATCAATCATGCCCAAGCATGCCTGTGATCATGTTCCTCCCTTCCTCAAAAATCTTCAAGGGCATCTCAGTGGCTAATTAAAAAAAAAAAATCAGGTTCCCTGGCCTGCCGTTTAGGGTGTTTGAAAACCCTCTCAAAACTAAACTCCCGGTCTAAACTACCAACACTTTCCAACACTAGCTCTAGGTTCTGGTCATCTTGATTTACCCTCTGTTCCCCCAAAACATATGAGCACTATACCACAGTCCTTAAGAGATGGCTAGGTTCAATTAACTGAGCTCACTAAAACCGTGTGACCACGGGACAGTTATTCACCTTCTATGTGCCCGAGTTTCCTCTTCTGCAAATATTTTCCATGTTTGATAACACATAAGTATCTCTCAAATGCTTTTTATTAGTTAAATGGAAAGAAAATAAGTTGACTTTCAGCATCTAAAATTTTGACATCTATAAATCTGAGCATCTACTTAGTATTTCTTTGTTTTTTAAAAAAGAGAGAACATTTCTTTTTTGTTTTATAAATATGTTGTTGTTTTTTGACTACATACGTAAAACCTCAAGCTTACCTTTCCAAGTTGGCTGACAGAGATTATGAAAAAGCCCTCTCTTAAGAAAACTGACAAAAACAAGGTTTGAAGGTTCATGGCCATGCAAATGTGACGCAAGTCTTGTAAATTTCATAGGATTACCTTCTTGGTCTAAATATCCCTAAAATATGAGGGAAAAAAGTTTAGCTTGATTTAACTATCAAGTCCATAAATACCATTTAATATCAGTGTGAATGATTGACAAATAATATCTGGCCTCATTTGATAATAAATGATAAGTAATATGATTCACTGAATGCAGCTTATAACAACGTCAATTGGTTTAATGTGGTAAGAAACCCACATAGTATTAATCACATTTAATAAAAAGCCAAAACAATGCCAGGCATGGTGGCTCATGCCTGTAATACCAGTGCTTTGGGGGGACAAGGCGAGAGAATTGGTTGAGGCCAGGAGCACAAGAACAGCCTGGGCAATTTAGCAAGACCCTGTCTCAACAGAAAATTTAAAAAAATTAGCCAGGCATGGTGTTGCCTCTGCAGTCCCAGCTGAGGCAGGAGGATCACTTGAGCTCATGAGTTTAAGGCTACAGTGAGTCAGGATTGTGCCACTGCACTCTAGTTTGAGTGACAGAGCCAGGCCCTATGTCAAAAACAAACAAATAAAAAGTCAAAGTAATCATACCTCTTTGATCAGGAACTGCAAAGAAAACAAAAAGTAAAGTTTCAAAACCTCTGTGGTTCTTGGTTGCTTAAAAGACAGCAATGAATGCTTTAGCACCGACAGCACCTGTAAGGAAGAGTACTTTCATTTATCTAGTTTTAAACCCTATTTGTAGATACTGATATGTAATAAATTGTATCCATTCATACTATAAAGATAATACATAATATTCCCAGGATATGGCTTGTGTGAAGGTAATTTTCATCAGATTTCATATTATCTATTTCATTGTGTTTTTACAGGATACAAGCTTCCTTGAATAAAATAGGTCATATAATGCAGAATTGTTAGAAATAGTACAGGTTGGTGAACAATCTGGTAAGTCTCTGGTAAGTCTCTGGAACACTAATGACCAATGACTACTGGAAAGAACGAAGTGTGAAAGCCAATCCAATTTACAAGTTTAACTCTCTTAGGCCATTCTGAAAGAAAACCAGGAACTAGCGTTGCCCTGAGGCCTGAGTAACCCAACGAAACTAGGTAGATTGCAATCAACAGAATAGAAATACGGCTTGCTTTCCAGTGAAAATGGCATCTACCTAGTCACCCAAGTATTCCTTAATTTTTAAATAAAATAGCCAAGCTATTTCTGATAGTGACCCCCAATTCCCCAATGCCAGCAAAACACAGACTTCACAGTCTTTAGGCTGATAGATTTTAGAACCACAAGGGAATTTCTTCTTCCTGTAAGGCCTAAAGAAGAAAGAATAAAGGAAGGGAAGAAGGGAAAGTGAGTCTGTACCAGCTCTACAACTAGACAGCTCTCCTCTTTCTGGGGAAGCCAAAAAGTTTCTCCCTGAGACGTCGTTAAGACTCCTTTCTATATTCAGTCAGAAGCTGCAATTGTCAGGAAACAACAGGGTAGAACGTGAGGTGCAGGAGTCACAGAGGCAGATTTCATTCTTAGAGGTGTAAACCCCGGGGTTATATTGCTTCTAAAGCAGTTATAATCCTGACAGCAATGCATTCAGAATATTGTAGTGACTAATGTCATCTATATCCTCAATAACTCAGCAAGTCAGGCAGCATAGGTAGGAGACAATCACTCTCGATAGGACAAAATTATATTAAAGGAAAACCTGCTAGATACTGAGAACCGAGCTAGAGGCAGTGCCTATCAATTGTCTATCCAGATGTAGAAATAAAAGATATTTGAACAATTGTTAAGTGGCTAGAACATGAGTACAGAAGACAGGTCTATACTGTATATTTGACAGACCCTGAGATTTAGGTAACTGTGACTTGATTCAAAGACAGAAACAGGCTCAATAGGACAAAACTAACATGGGTTTTATGCATGAATTTTTCAAAAGAGAGAGTGGGCATCATCTTAAGAACTTATGTATTAATGCAACATCTTTTATTGAGTGTTTTCTATGCAGCAGGCTCTATTCTAAAGACTTCCAGGTAGGAGGAGGGTAGAGAACAAAGAACCAAAGAGGGGAGATATCTGGCATATTAAGGAACAGAAAATCATGCAGCATCGGGAACTCAGGGAGGGACAAGAAAGACAGTATAAGAGTCGTCAAAGAGATCATAGTGGGGCAATGGTGCTCTAGACCACAGAAGGGGTTTAGGCTTTTATACTGCAAGAGGGCCAACCCGTGAAAATGATTTCCTGCAGAAAGCAAAGCAGATTTTGAAAATGTATTTTAGTTTGTCCATGGGTTACCCAGAAGTATGTCTTCTATGAAAGAAGGCAGAAATACACAACGAGAAAATAAATTGAAAAATTGGGTAGATCTAGAGCTATAGATATCGGTGAAAAGGAGGATATAAGAAGTCATAAGCCAGGCATGGTAGTGCATGCCTGTGGTCCCAGCTGCTCAGGAGACTGAGAAGCCCAGGAGGTCGAGGTTGTAGTGAGCCACGATCGTTTCACTGAACTCCAGTGGCCTGGGTGGCCGAGTGAGACCTTGTTTCAAAAAAACCCAAAAACCAAAAATCCCTAATAAACTTCCTCAATATCTACATCTTGTTTACCTATAAAAGTCCAGCAAAATAACAGAAACCCACATCTGTGTCATGAAAAAGCAGACTGACATTTAGAATCAGCACCCACATTATGCAGGACAAGCTTCAGAAAGTACTCCGCAATGAAGGAAGGGAGAGACACAGCAAAGGAGATTCTACCTGGGAATTGAAGCTTTTCCTAATGAAAAATCCAAAGCAACTAACACAGAAGCCAAATTAAAAATATTATTTTGGGCCAGGCTCAGTGACTCAGAGTGTAATCCCAGCACTTTGGGAGACCGAGGTGAGTGGACCACCCAAGCCCTAGGTTAAAGACCAGCCCGGGCACCTTAGTGAGACCTCGACTCTACAATAAATAAAAAATTAGCCGGCGTGGTAGCGTGTGCCAATAGTTCTGGCTACTTGGAAGGCTGAGGTGGAATGATTGCTGGAGCCAGCAGGTCGATGCTGGGGTGGCTGTGAGCCTGCCACTGCACTCCAGCCTGGGTGACAAAGTGAGACTCCAATTAAAAAAAAAAAAAAAAAAATATATATATATATATATATATGCATAATTTTGTAAACGGACTTCTTAATTCAAAAGACAACTTGAATATGACATGTTGTATGATAAACACTATCAATTTCAAAAAGTATAACTAGAAATTTCTCCCTAAAAACTGAAATATATGAATAAAGAAAAAAGATGAAATGAAATAAAATATGTAAAGCACTTAGCATAATACCTAGCACATAGTAAGTGCTCAATTATGATTTTTTTAAACTTTTCATTTTTTTATTTTAAAGATGTGGGGTACAATTCAGGGTTAGGTATACAATGTTCATTATGCGGGTACCCTTGTTGAGGTGTGCTCCCCTCCCCCAGCAGATTTCCACTACTGTTAAATATTTGTTTAAAAAAAAAAGAATAAAGAAAAAGACCCATACACACTGGCAGGAAAAGTCAGGTGACCTGCAAAAAAGCAGTAACCAGTGAGGCCACAGACTATACCTCTATAACAGAGAATGGTGCCCAGAGACAAGGATGCATCGACAATTTTGACAACTAACTGATAGAATCCAAAAATTTACGCCCAGTTAGATCGTTCTTCTACTACAAACATGAAAATATCCTCAAATATGCAGGAGCCCAGATAATACGCCACCCTCATAAGCTTTATTATACAAAACAAGAACAAAGACCTTGGAGATTATGACTCTTTCTTACTGATAGATGAATCAAAATTGCAAGCTCAAGAATGAAGCTAATTTTACTCAGAACCGCGAGTCCTGTTCTTTGGCCCCACCACCAAGCACGCATCCTACTCTTTTCCGGGATCTGAGAAGACTCCTCATCTTTGCAAGTGGAATCTGATTCAACGGGCAACAATAATGAATGTACAAGAGTATGGAAGACTTGGTAACCTTACGATGACATCTTATTAAATTTAAGTTTTAATGTGAGTTTCATACTCCTCAATATGGGATTTATCCCATCACCTACCAGTTGTTCTGATTAAAAACCTCAGGCAAATTTAGTACCAAATTCTGTAGTCCAATTCAATATAACTGCATCCGTTCTTAAAAGTAAACCCCTACCTGTGTTAGGTAGAAAAGAACAGAAGAAATATACCAAAATAATAATGCAGTTTCCTTTGAGTAACAGAACTAGGTATGGGTGATTATCCTTCTTTCAATTTTCCTATGTTTTTCAAATATTCTCTAATACACTTGGTTTATTTTATACTAAAAACAAAATTGTTATTTATTTATTTATTTTTTGAGTTGGAATCTCACTCTGTCGCCCAGGCTGGAGTGCAGTGGTACGAACGCTCACAGCCACCTCAGTGTCAGCCTGCTGGGCTCTGGCAATCCTTCCGCCTCAGCCTTCCAAGTAGCCAGAACTACAGGCGCAAACTACTGCGCCCAGCTAATTTTTGATTTATTGTAGAGACGAGGTCTCGCCAAGTAGCCCAGGCTGGTCTCAAACTCGTGGGCTCAGGTAATTCACTCGCCTCAGCCTCCCAAAGTCCTGGGATTACAGGCTGAGCCACCGAGCCCGGCCAAATTTTTATTTTTATACAGCAATACTGTTGTCCTCGTTCTCATGTATAACTTAAAAGAGTGATATGTTTTAAGAGTAAAATGAATCTTCCATTTCAATTATATCTCTTTTAGTTATTTTCAAAACATATAAATATCTTATTACTCTAAAGAACTAATTAATTAAGTGGCAAACGCTGACCACACAACAGAATTTAAGGTCTATGCAAATCTGTTTTACCACAAAATATAGCTAGACAGTCACAAGCCACCTTCTGTTACCAGCTCTAACTTATATTTGCTCTCTGCTATGAAGGAGAGAACAAAAAACAGCAATTGGAAAGAATGGAGAACTCAGCAGATTGCTTTTTCCCATTCTTTAAAGAAGACGAAAGGAAAAAAACATGAAAAGGGAAGCTACTCAGGGCAATGACAAACATTTTATGCATTTGCTACGAATGAAGCATGGTGCTAAGAAGTAATTGACTCGCATTTTTAGTTCATTTAATTCTCATTACATTCCATAGTTGCTATTATTCTCATTTTACATTTGATAATTCTGAGGTTTATAAAATGGAAGTGCCTTTCCCCTTCCAATAGTTATATAATCAATAAAGAATTGAACCAGGGATCTATTCTGCCAACTCTCAACCACTGTTACATTTTTTCTCACACACGAAGATAACCCTGGGCAATTCTTAATGCCTAAGTGTGATCTCTGGCAGTGAAGCAAAATAAAAATAATTGTTTCATTTTTTCCACCCCCAGGAAACATGTAGCAATCAAGCAAACACAAAGCAGAAACTGAAGAGTTATTGTTATACAGACTCCTAAAAAAACAGAAGACCTGACTCTCGCCAGGCTGGTGGTGGAGACTGAACCTCAGCCCAAGTCCAGCATGGTACCTCTGCCTTGCTGTGTTCTGGGTCATCTCCCGTGGAAGCCAGCAGCATGAGTCGCAGAACTAGGGTAACGCTGAGAGGGAACTGTTCCCTCAGCTCGGGAACGTTGGATGTGATGAGTCTTCTTATTTTGGGCAACGGGATATTGAAGAAATACACATCTCCCATCAGGTCTCGACCTCGTCTTCCAGCACGCCCAGACATCTGGAAACAGCATAGAATCACAATGTGAAACTTCCCCACATAATTTCCTACAAAGGTGCACTTGTGATTCTGGATTGGCGAAAGCAAATTGGGCAACAGGTCCTGAAATTAATCTGTGTTAATAGAGCACTTATAAAATTCAGGGTGACTGGGGCAAAATAGAAAATAAGACATCATGAGAGTGTGAAATGCATATATTTGGTCTTTGATCACTTTTTCTGGCATACCACTCTTGAAATCTTTGGACTCTCCAATGTGATATCTTTTGTATGCTAATAAGTTGATTCGTGGTTGGGTCTCGAGGTCACTTCAGGATGGGGCTGGTCACCAGAAAGACCAAGGCAAGGTTAAAAGGTTGGGACTTTCAGCCCCACCTCCAATCTCCAGGGAGCGGGGGAAGGGCTGAAGGTTAAGTGGATCACCAATAGCCAATGGTTTAACCAATCCTTCCCATGTAATAAACTGTCCACAAAAACCCCAAAGGACAGCATTCAGAGAGCGTCCAGATGGCTGAGCATGTGTAGGTCCCTTGAGAGGGGTGCACCCAGGAAGGGCCATGCACCCAGAGAGGGTGTGAAAGTTCTGTGCCCCTCCACCCCATACTTTGTCTTATGCATCTTTTCATCTGTTTCCTTTGTAATATTCTTTATAATAAACTGGTCAACATAAGCACTATTTTCCTGAGTTCTGTGAGCTGCTCTAGCAAATTAACCAAAACCAGCTTGCAGCCAGTTAATCAGAAGTTCTGGAGGCCTAGACCTGTGACTGGTGTCTGCAGGGAGGGCACTCCTGTGGGACGGGACCCTCAACCTGTGGGATCTGACACCGTCTTCAGATAGTGTCAATTGAATTTGAAGACACCCAGCTGGTGTCCACTGCAGAAATGAGTGTTTGCTTGGTGGAGGGAGGGACTCCCACCCATTTAGTCACAGAAGTCTTCCATGTTGATTGCAGTGATTGTTGTAGAGTGAGAAAATTGGGGGGAAAAATGAGTTTTTCCTCACACTCAGAGGCATGTATCATGAACAGGTATCCACGTCATGCAGACAACTGTACCAGGCATTGTAAAATGACATGTAAAAGAAATGTACAGGCCGGGCTCGGTGGCTCAGTCTGTAATCCCGCGCCTTTGGGAGGCTGAGGTGAGTGAATTGCCTGAGCCCGCAGGTTCAAGACCCGCCTGGGCAGCGAGACCTCATCTCTACAATAAATCAAAAAATCAGCTGGGCGTGGTAGCGCGTGCCTGTAATTCCGGCTACTTGGAAGGTAGAGGCAGAAGGATCGCGGGAGCCTAGCAGGTCGAGGCTGCGGTGTCTGGGAGCGGCTACTGCACTCCAGTCTGGGCGACAGAGTGAGACTCCAACTCAAAAAAAAAAAAAAGAAAAGAAAAGAAAAAAGAAATGTACAGTCATTGCTTTGTTAAACTCTGGTGTGTCCATGTGGCTCTTTGAACTATGGCCACTATGTTTCCTAGTTTTGGGCCCCTCCCCCACCTTGGGGAGGTGAATCTCTTCTCTCTCTAATTTGCTTTCTAAATATATTTTCCAATCTAAAAAAAAAAAATGTACAAACAGACCCTCCTCTCAAGGAGCTTAATGTTCATTCCTTCCACCCTTTCTCTCTGTCTTTCATTTCAGTCCCCCATACAGAGAAAGAAGAGAGAGATAGAGAGAGAGACAGAGAGAGAGAAACTAGAGACTACACATTGAGTTAAGGTAAGGAAATAAAACAGTGTGCCTAAGTTCTCTGAGATATAAACCAAGTAAATTCACTGAGTGAGACATTATATGAAAGGTTTCTTGGAAGAACTGTGTCAAAGACCAACTCTCTACAGAAGAAAGAACAGTCATTTATTAAATGCTTAGTATGTGTCAGGCCCTTTATATAAATTAATTCTAGGCAGCTCTCATAACCAACCCTGTGACATAGATAGTATGTGAGCCTTGCTTCTCAGATAAGGAAACTGAGTACAGTAATCCCTGTACCTACAGTCCGACAACAGAGAAGTAGCAAATTCAACCCTTGACATTTCATGACCAAATTCATGCTCCCAAGGACCCCACTAGTCTGCTCCCAGAATCCCAAAAATGAAATCTTGAAGATCACATGATGGAAAGTCCATGCAAAGAATCATCGATGCAGGGACAAAGTCAAGAAGACAGAGATTAGTACAATGACTGGACACAGATGATTAGATTGACTGAGATAAGGTTTTATGAGCACAAGAATATTAACGTTCTAGAGAGATTGTGGAAGGGAACTTGTCGATCAAGGGCTTGAATTGGGCCGACAGCTCTAAGTTTGATCCTAGGGCAGAACTAGTTGCCCAATATTCCTTAGAAAAAAAATTACATAAAGAAAAGTGATGCTACCAGTCACCTGCTCATAGAATAGAGCATGAGGAAATGATGACCAGGAACACTGATATAATAACCCAGGGAAAGAGTGCAGGAAGAAGGATGTTGTCTACAGAAATGGTGAGACAGAAATCTGAGAGACCACTATGGGAGGGTAATGGGGTGATTTTCATAATAGACTAAGTATCAAGAACAAAAGAGAGAGAAGCACTAAAGAGAACCCCAGAGTGAAAAAGTGTGCACCATGAATGAAGGAAGAACTGTTTCTTGAGCACCGGCAACATGTCTCTTTTCTGTTTTACCCAATCCTTACAAAGGCTGTGGGCAGTGGTTATCCCCGCCATCCCATAGGTTGCGAAGGAGGACCCAGCCAGTAGTGTCGATATCTCTCACATCTGGTTAGCAGCAGTCACCCCATGGCCACAAACCTTCCATTATCATGGTTTCCATCGTAGCCACAGCTGGATGGGACAGACTGGCGTAGAGGGAGGCACCTTGTAGAGAAGAGAGGATCAGTTCCACAAACATCTTGAGCGTCTCTTGTCATCCTCATGCCAACTGCTATTGGAAGTACAAATCCCCTCACAGAACTTACAAGAGCACCTAACAGGAGCCATGGAAGAACAAGGGCAATCACATTCCCCAAAGGTGGGGTCATCAAGAAAGACTTCCAAGAAAATAAGAAGAGTTCAGTCAGAGCCTTGAAGAGGATCCTCACCAGGAAACAGCAAGAGACAGATATGAAAAACAGAGGGGGTCAGAACGCAAAGGACCCTCCTAATGACAGCTGCTATTTTGGAGCACTTGCTCTGTGTCGGCACAGTTCTGAAGGTGTCTGAACTCTGCAGCGAGTCGCCATAATAACTTTATGGAAGTCATCATTGTCACCACTTCACAGATAGAGAAGCCGACACCTGAGAGATCAGTAGCTTGCCCGAGATTGCACAGCTGTAAATGGTAGAGCAAGGTTTAGGCCCAGGGAATCTAGGACCTGACCCCACTGTCTCGGTCATTGCACAAACTCCCCTCAGAAGCAATGCGAGGTGCCAGGCGACTGAGGTGAAACTTGAACCAGGCAGTGGGGTGATGGTGCAGAGTTCTCAGCAGGAGAGGGGCTGGGCAATAGGTGGCACGGAGCCAGCAGGCTCAGGGCAGCACCACCATGGCGGCGAAAAGGCCCAGGAACGGAAACTGAGAGACTGCACTCGCAAAGGGGCATCCTGACAAAATGGCAAAAGTTGAGCGACTGTGCTTGCGAAAGGCAATCCCAAGCTTGTGCCAAGAGTGACCCCCTTCGGACGCCTGGGAAGGCGGTGAATGTGCTTTTGCTTACGGGGAGGAGTGAATCTCTGGAGCCCAGACGGCAGACTGGAGAAGGCAGATTTCTCAATATCTCCCGGTGATTCCAAGGATCACAGCCTCCTGCTTTTCACAACCTTGTATAATCCCTTCTTGAAAAAGGGTAAGATTCTGATACAAAGGGACTGGAGTCAGTGCCAGCTTTGAAGACTGGGTCTTATTTTTATATTTCTAAATAATACCTCAGTTGTTGAGTTACAGGTCCCAGGCGGATTTTCTTTCTTTAAACATAAAACGGAGTGAAGGCACACTTCTAGTTAGAAGGTGTGCCAAAACACTGACATGAAACCAAAATATTGACTCAGCTAACCTAAGACTGTAGATTCAGGATTATGATGAAATCGGACTGTTTGAAATTTGGGGTATAATTAACTTCGAGTGGTCTCAAATGCAAGAAGCAGAACTTACATGTCCTGGGTCTCACTGTATGACACACCCTTATAGATAAATTGTACAGGACTTGGAAATATGATCAAAGCTCTCTAATTCATCTGTACTTCCCTACCCAGAAGCAACCTGACACATGAGAAGGGAGACAGTTGCTCAGAGGTGTGAGTTGAAGGGTTAAGTTCCCAGAAATGTCGGCAGCCTGACTCTCTAGGAACGGAACCTATTCAGGAAAAGAAGATACTGTATTCTCTCCTAAGAGAGACTTGTAATGACTTGTAATGTCAAGTCATTGTGGTTGGATCACAAAGTAGTTCCATCCACATTATGGTCATAGTAAATGAATGATGCTGGATTTCTTCCAAGCAAGGGATTTTGAGAAGGAAGAGAAAAGCAGGGATGAGAATTCTAAAGGAAACAGGAATCTCTGAAGACAAACTTCACTCACTGCACAGAAAGAGCAAGACTGGAAGATTCCAGTCAGTGGCCGGACGTACTGTTTTTCAGCCAAAAAAGCACATGCCGAAAGGTGGCAGGTTCACAGCTGTGCTTGAGAAAAGGGAATGTGGCTTTTATAAACAGCAATCTTCTGACAGAAAGGAAGAAAATAGTCATGAAATGGAGAAAAACTCCCTTTCCCTGTAAGATTTCTACATTCTTGGCCCCACCCGGTGGCTCAACCTGTCATCCCAGCACTTTGGGAGGCCGAGGTGAGTGGATGGCCTGAGCCCGCATGTTCGAGACCAACCCGGGCAACTTGGCGAGACCTCGTCTCCACAGTAAATCGAAAATTAGCTGGGCATGGTGGTGTGCACTTGTTGTTCCAGATCTTTGGAAGGCTGAGGCAGAAGGATCGCCGGTTCGACACTGGGGTGGCTGTGAGTGTGCCACTGCACTCCAGCCTGGGTGACAGAGCAGGACTCCAACTCCAAAAAAAAAAAAAAGTCCACATTCCAATCTAGGATAGTTAATGTGTTCTATATTTAATTGAGGAAAGAAGAAATTTTCAAGAATAAGCAAAATAAAAACATTTCTATTTTGAGACTTTGTAAATATCCTTGCCATTTTCGGCAGTGTGTGGAGAAGGGGTGGTTTTTCTTCCTTTGATTTCCAACATATACCACATAAGGAAATGAGAAGAGGCTCGGGTACAATATCTTTGCTTTCATTTGTGTCAATATCTCTGCAATATGGCCTTTCTCTCTCATTTTCATTTTTCTCACCCTCAACTTTGTTTTCCCTTCACTTATCTTTCTTCCTTTGCTGTTGGGAGCCAGCCATGGAGGCCCACTGAGCATTAGGGATCAGGAAGGGCCGTTGACCCCGAGACCACTAGGATGCGTTTGGGAGCTATTTGACCCCATTTCCTCCCCCTTTCTAATCAGCACTAACCAGATTAAGCTCCTGTGAGCTCAAAACATAAAAACTCTGAGACCGGGACGAACACAAGCTAACTTTAGAAGCTTTCTTTCCCATTCTTCCGCAAACTGCAGTTTTGGCTTTCACACAACTTATAATTCAAACTCGTGTCACATTGAAGAGCCTTAGTATTGGTCACAGGCTTCTGGGTCATGATCTTAGGATTTATTGAAGGTGTAAATTGTAGAATACAGTTTTAGAAGACAGCCGTTTTGTTGAAAGAATGCGGCTGGGTTACTTGCAGGTAGCCCACTGTGAACTTTGGACTGGGCCACATTCCAAACATTCTGGGATGGGCCACTTTCGTTTGTAAAGTAAATACTTAAGCTTCTATAGAATTGTTTAACTTGGCATAAATCAATCAGCTTAGGATGAAAAAGGTTTATAGAATATGCCAGTCACAGATTAGGTTATCCTTTGTTATGGGATTTTACGATTATCATATGAAAAGAGTTTAAAGGCAATCACTGATTAAGTTTTCATGGATTAAGGTTTCTGGTGGGTGGGGGACGCCCCTCCCACATCTGACTTTGTGTATAAAAGACCCGTTTAATTCCCAATAACACACATCACTTCTGCACTAGACTGGAGTCCAGTCTCTTTCTTTCTCTCTCTCTCTCTCTCTCTCTCTCTTTCTTTCTTCTTCTCCCCAATTGCCGATGCTGTCTCCACCTTTGGGGTACCCTGAACCCGGCTGGAGCTGGTCTCTGGCACTTTGCCGTATAACAAAGGACATATTCTTATTCTTGATTTCAGAAAAGTTAACTAGAGATCCCCAAGTCACATCTCTCCCTCCAGAAATTCCATAAAATGATGATCAATGCGCTTTTCTTTTTAAGCATAAACCAACAGCAAGAAGGTGAACAGTAACACAATTTTGGAATCTGGAAGATAGGTGGTAAATGGTCCTAAGATACACCGTACTAAGCACGCTGTAAGAAAGTCAAAACTTAACTGATTTAAATAAGGGCAGAATTCCCCAAAGACTCAGGAATTGTTGATACCACGTGCCACACACAGGGAAAGGCAAATTAACATGAACAGATGATGCAAAAATGTCAGAACATTTTGCAAACTCCCAGAAAAACAAAATCAAGAATCAGAACAGGTCTATATTTCTCCAGAAAAACACTAAAACCTACACTAAGATTAGGAAGCCAATAAACCAGCTGTGAGAAAACAGTGGCGCAGACAAATCACACAAGACAGGCCAGGCAGCAACGCTACTCAAAAACGCCATGCCTCACAGGAAGGGAAGGAAGGACGTGAACCACAGCCCGTCAGCAGACAAGCGTGACCCCTGGTTTGTGATTTCACACCCACTTCTCAGCAGTGGGAGTAGAGCCTTACCTGTCTATAATTTAACGCATCCAGATAGACCGAATCTTGAGCAAAAACAACAGATTTACATGGCATGTGGACCCCTAAGGCAAGTGTTCCCGTGGCTGTCACTACCTAGAAAACAAAAAGGAATAGCATACTGTAAGTCCCCTGTATGAGAACCTTCAAGTTGAGGACGTCCAAGGGTGCAAATGTGTATTTGTGTGTCCAATCACGTAAGTGATTTTTGCTTTCCGTTGGTTTCATTTTTTGCTTTATTTTGTGTGTGTCTGTTTAATGTGATGTGTGAAAAGTGTGATAAACCTATCACCGTACAGTACCATGCAGCCAATCGTGTTAGTTGGGTACCTAAGCTAATTTTGTTGGACTTACAGTCTGGACTTAATGAACAAGCTTTTGGAGTAAAACCCATCCGTATGTGGGAGTCTTAGTGTAGTTAACTCAGAATATAACCTATCTATAAAGGCACAAGGTCTATTTTCTGCTCCAGTCACCGAAAAACTCGTTGAACTTTAATACACCACATGTCATAAAAGCGATCACACTAGCCACACCATTCTTGCTGCTGACCACACAAAGCACACTGCTACTTCAGGACATTAGCTGCCGCTGCTTGCTCAGCCTAAAATGGTTTGCCCGAAACCTCCAATTGCAGGCTCTTTCTGATCTCCGCGTGAGTGTCAAAAGGAACTTCCTGGACTGACATTTCTAAAATAACCTGCCTGTCCTTCCCAAACCTTATCGTGAGGACAGGGGCATCGGTCTGTCTTAGCCATTGCCCCATCCCCTGCTACTCCAAAGAGTACTGAGCGCACAGTAGATGTACAAGAAATGTGCACCCAATAAATGCATGCATTAATGAACAATTAGCACACACATTTCCTTGTGATGGGGTGGTGATGCTTTCCTTATACACTCTAGACAATCACAGTTCCCTATCCTCACGCTTTGTTTATGGAGATTTTATCTACACACATAACTGATCTAATCAAGTCCAATTATTCACTTTTACAACATCAGCTATGCGCCCTCCTCACCTATTTAATGCTGGTGCATACAATTGCCCTCTTGTTCTCTCAGATACATTGACATTAATCTGTGCCACAATTATTTTAATTATTTAATGATAGATAGTAATCACAAAGACTTCCTAATTGATATCTCAATTCAACTCGTTATTTTTTCTTCTAAAAAGTTCATCAATATAAAAGACGGAAAGACTTAAATCACTAAAATTTAGAATTTATTTATAAATTCTATAAAGTACCATCTTTTAAAAATGTGTTCTGTTCATCCTATTATAATAGTCTGGCTGTTCATTTATGCAATTATTCACTCACTTTTATTGAGCAACTACTATGTGACAAGATCTGTATTACTGGGCATGAGAAGCAAAATTGACATGACCTTTGCTTTCAATCAACATTCTTTATACAAACTCTTTTTTTTCTGGTTCTTACCCTTCAAAGTGACAAATAAACTTTATACATATGAAAATTGAGCAGAGTTGCTCATGGTATCTTGTTTTGGTAAACAACAAAAAAGAACCTTTCTTTAGATACCTAAAACCCCTCACTATTCTTAAGAGTACAAAAATAAATGCCTTGAATATCAAAACGACTACCTTCTACACACTTTTCACACACAGAGGCACACATAAGTATGTGCATGCAAGCAATAAGGCTAGTGTCTATTTTTCCAAATCATGCCAAAAGAAAACTGACTAGGTAATCATGTGAACGTTCTTGGTGAATTTTTGGACACTGTCCCCACCTAGAAGTAAGATGTTGACATACTAGCAAAACATTAATGACTATTTGACTATGAGCCAGCTCAGATTTCCTACCCTTTTCCAAGTTCCCTTGGGGGTACCACATCTATAAACTCCGTCTGGAACATGTTCGTCTAGGACAAGCTTTTCCCATCTCTTGAAAAAGAGATGTCTTCTTCTTAGCTGAGGTATGACATTAGAAAGGATTCTGACCAAAAGGATATCTTAAACATCCTTAAGAAGTCTCTAGGGCAAGATCATAAGAGCTATTTCCTAGGTACTAAGTGTTAAAAGGGATGAGGCTTTGCCTACATGACCAAAGTTATAATATCTCATTATAAATATAATTTTTCAGTGCAGATATGATTTTTAAACTCTTCTAATAAATGAAATCATGTGAGTTGTAATAAAAAGACACTTTGGTTAGATGAGAAAAACAACTGACATAATTTTTCACTTTTTACTGATATTCGTCATCATATCACTTTATTATTTAAATGCAAAAAAAATTTACCCACCCTAATTAAGCCTTTTGCAAAGAGTATCTCAACAAACTCTCTTTCTTTAAAATACATGGAGTTGTGATGATAACCAATGCCTCTCTGTGCTAAAGACTTCAGTTCTTCACCTTTTCTTGTTAAGTGCACTCGTTTAAACAACGTAGCCATAACCTAAAACAAGAAAGAATTGTAAGACCATCAGTCATATATATATTTATTTAATTTTAAGATCAGTTAAAATCAAAGGACATTTTCATGAACAAATCACTTATGTCTTCTGCACAGAGAGGTTGCTCTTTGGCCCTGAGACTATATAAGAAGCCAGTTTTGTGATGACAGAATCCATCTGCTCATTTCTGTGAACATTGTCCCAGGGAAGAGACGTCGCCAACTCAAGGGGGAAACACTGCTCGGGCAGGGATCAAAGGCCTGGGACAGGCAAGTGTACAGGTTGTGGCTACCTGAAGGAGGGAGGCCCTTCTCTACTGGACACTCAGGAGTCCCTCTCAGGCAGAGAGAGACATCTCCAGAAAGGCAGAAGAGACCTACCCTAGAGGATCAGAGAATTCTTACACCAAATTCAAATCATCATCGCAAAGCAAACAAAATAATACACAGAGATACTAATATCTCAAAGGTTTTATAAAAACAAGTCATTTCTTTCTCTTTTTTTTGAGTCGGAGACTCACTCCATCGCCCAGACTGGAGTACAGTGGCATGCTCATGGCCACCGCAGCCTTGATCTACTGGGCTCTGGCGATCCTTCCGCCTCAGCCTTCCAAGTAGCTGGAAGTATAGGCGCATGCCACCACGCCTGGCTAATTTTTTTATTTATTGAAGAGACAAGGTCTCGCCAAGTTGCCCGGGCTGGTCTCGAACCTGCGGGCTCAGGTAATCCATTCGCCTCGGTCTCCTAAAGTGCTGGGATGACAGGCTGAGTCACCAAGCCCAGCCAGAAAGTCATTTCTAATAGGGATTTCCTTCTGTGTCCAAAGATACTAAACAATCACTACATTGAAACGTCACGACTGACAATATGTTACAATTCTCTGACATACTGAGCTTCTGTTCATGGCAATCTCGCTGCAGACTGCATTCATATCAGCATACGTGCTGTCCTGGGGGAGTTCCAGAATCATCTTCAGAGTAGATGCAACTTCATATGTCAGTTTTCTCTCCAATCTTCTAGCCCTTTTCAAGCCTTTTTCAATGCTTTATTTAAAAAAATAACAATACATTTTTAAGTAAGAAAAACTCATATTGTGCAACCAAAGGAGCTCTGAGTCCTCCCGGGCTGTCCTCCACCAACCAGACACCGACTCCTGGGTGCTCCAGCCCTCCTGAGTACTCCTAGAGCCCTCATCAGCAAGATCCCTGTTTTCTTCACCCTTCTCTGCGTGACCCCTGCCCCTTCTGGCAACAGAAAAATCTAGGTCTTCTCAGAAAAGCTGCAGCTCCTCGGCTCTCTTAAGCAGTGGCCAGAGATTGTGGAAAGGCATGGAGGGTCCCTTGCACAGTCCGGAATGGGTTGACACCACCCGACCCTTCTGGCCCTTCTGACTCCTGCTCCCATGAAGGAGATACCAGTCAGAGTAGAGCAACGTAAATCTCACGCTGAGAACAGAGCTCTTCTTGACTGGGCCAAAGGGGAAACAAATTATGACAATAAGTACGAGGGGGGATCTCCCCCCAAAAAGCCCCAGAATCATCTTTGAGAGGGCCAGCCTGCTAGGTCAGTGTTCCAGGATCCCATCCGTCTTTATCTGGGAGTTTTGAGAAGGTTGCCTCACGGTTGGCGGAACAAACTTCCTGAGTTGTGACCGAAAGGTGACTGGTTCTTCCACCACGACAAGGCACCTGCCCACACCGCTCTGAGTGTTTAGCAGTTTTTGGCCCAAAACCGCATGACCCCCACGCCCTGTCCTCCCTATTCACCGGATCTTGCCCCAAGTGACTTTTTCTTGTTTTCCTGGGTGAAAGAACGTCCTCAAAGGGAAACATTTTGCTGGTGTAAAAGAGGTAAAACACAAGGCAGGAGCACTCAAAGGCATCAAAATAGAGTTCAAACACGGTTTTGAACAGCGGAAAAAGTGTCTCAGTGGGTGGATTGCATCAGACAGAGAGTACGTGCAAGGTGTCTAAAGTTTAAACATGTGAGAATAAATACACGGTTTTTTATAAATACATTCCGGGTTTTTGGGGGTCACCCTCGCGCCCATTATTACCATATCCCCGTATTGCTCACTACACATCCAAAGTGAAACGCTGTTCCTTGGCCTCAGCAGGGACTCACTAAGAAGAACCAGTCACTGAGAAGACTTACAGCTTTCATATCTCTCTCATAGTACCAACCTCTTTCTTCCCATAGGTCCAGGAAAACGCACAACAAACACAAATAAAACCGGTGGGATCAAGAGAGAGTGTCCACTCTAGTCTTTAGGAAACATCTAAAATTATGGTGGCTGTGGAAGCTGTTTCGATATTGTTATGGACTGAATGCATAGGCTCCCCCAAAATTCACACGTTAAAATCCTAACAACGTGTGATGTGTCAGGAGGTGGGAAGTTTGGAAGGTGAATGTGCTATGGGGGCAGAGCTCTCAAGAATGGGATTAGTGCCCTTAGTGAACAGGACCCAGGAGCTCCCTTGCCCCTTCTACCATGAGAAGACATGGAGAGAAGACAGGTCTCTGGGAATGAGAAAGCCAGGCACCCCCCCTCCCGCCCCGCCCACAAGCACTGAATCTGCTGGTACTTAGGTCTAGGAATTCTCAGTCTCCAGAACTGTGAGCAATAAACTTATATTGTTTATAAGAAACCCAGTCTATGATAATTTGCCACAGCAGCCTGAATCGACTACAATAAGTGCTGAGGGAAGATTTAAGCATCCTTTCGACAAATATTTATATAGCACCATTTCCACCTGCCAGGCAACATGCTAGCAAGAGGAATTCAAAGAGAATATGCACAGCTCTTCTTGTGAGGAATCTTCCAATCTAAGGAAAAGAAAGAGATACAAGCAACTGCAAAACTGTTGCAATCGATTCAAACGCTTTAATGACTCAGTGTGGAATAGGAGGCCGGGTGTGGTGGCTCACGTCTATAATCCCAGCACTCTGGGAGGCTGAGGCAGGAGGATCGCTTGAGCCCAGGGGTTTGAGATCAGCCTGGGCAACATAGCAAGGCTCCGTCTTTACAAAAAAATCCAAAAATTATCCAAGTGTGGTGGTGGCACCTGTAGCCCCAGCCACTCAGGAGGCTGAGCTGGAAGGATCGCCTGAGCCCAGGAAGTCAAGGCTGCAATGAGCTGTGATGGCACCACTGCACTCCAGCCTAGTTGACAGAGTGAGATTCTGACCCCAAAACCAAAATGTAGACTAGGAACAAAAGGCGAGAGGTGATAAGTCTAACTGGAAAAATCTTTATAAACTTCGGAAAGAAGATAGATTCTGAACCAGAAAGAAAAAAGAGCACAAGATGTATGAGCTGACGAGATGACTTTCCAGGAAGATGCAGCACCCGTGCACAGATTCACGTGGCACAGAGCACTTCCTGCGAGGAGAACTGAAAAGACAGAGTCTCACCAGAGAGGGGTAGCAAGGACTGATGATGACACCATGGAGCCGGCAGGCATCAAGTCACAGTGACCCCGGGATTCAACACCAAAGTGCCTATGCCCTGACAACTCTACCAGGCAACTCAGGAGAAAGAACTCTGCGCCTGGGAGAATTTGGCTCGATGTGCACCTTAGAACCGTCAAGCCGGCGACCGTGCATCAGTCACGCTGGAGGAGGTGGACCTGGAACCGGAAAGGCGCTACAGGACCCAGATAAGAGACGCCCGGGGCCGGAACCGAGGCAGAGTTGGCAGGTGAGGATGCACACAACGGCAAGAAGAGAAGGTTATTCTGCCCGTAGAACTGTCCGAATTAATCAGCGTCCTTGGGAAAAGGAAGAGAAGTCACAGCAGTGACACTCTACCCCAACACAACGCTGGTCCAGCGAGTCCTTCCATGGAATCATTCTTTGGTTCATTCTTCCCTCATTCTTTTTTCTTTGAATTGGAGTCTCACTCCATCGCTGGCCCAGGCTGGAGTGCAGGGGCATGCTCACGGCCACCGCAGCCTCGACCTGCTGGGCTCCGGTGATCCTTTCCCCCTCAGCCTTCCAGGCAGCTGGAACCACAGACGCACACCACCACGCTGGCTAGTTTTTGTGATTTATTGTAGAGGCAAGGTCTCAGAGGGGTTGCCCAGGCTGGTCTCGACTCCCAGGCTGAGGCGAGAGGATCGCCTCAGCCTCCCAAAGTGCTGGGGTGACAGGCTGAGCCACCGCACCGGGCCCATTCTTCCTTCATTTTGTGCCCACCCGCTGTGACACTGCACCCAGGACACCTCTAGGTTGTAGCCTGAGGGGGTGAATGCAGGCTGCGGGTAAGCAGGCCGAGATTCTAGGAGATGTGCTTGATATCTAGACTTGCAGGCAGTGGTCCTGCATTGGTTCTGGTTCCCAGGTGAAATCTACCTACGTGCAGCTAAGAGGGATGTGGTTATGGCACCTTACATTTCTCCCATCCTCCCTTCCAAATTTACTCGTTTTCAAACAAAGTAAAGCAATGATGGAAACCCCTTCGTGGCTCAGGTCTGTAGACATTTCTGACAGTGTCTTGGGAAGCATTAATATTTTGTAACTATTTCAGTGGCTAGTTTGTTTAAAGAAATACTTACTTCTTCCTCTGTGCCTTCATGGTTCTTTCAATTTTTTTAAGTTTTTCATCTGTGTGAAGGATGCAGCTATGACATTCTGTTGACGGATGGCTTTTTCTCTCTTTCTTCTCTAGAAGAGTGCACACACTTCTAGCTCTTTCTTCCACATCACCATTCTTAAAACTTAAAGCAAATGAAAACAGTGCTTCAAAAAGACTATGGTTTCCTTAATATCATATCTCCGTCTACCACTCTCATTTTGACACAGAGCTTGCCGGAAAAATGTTTTGGCTTGATGTGTCTAACGACCCGTACCATTGCACTTATTACAGGTTAGGTCGTCCCTATATATTTTCAGACTTATTACTCATGAGACCATGGATTTACTATCACGTTTAGAAAGAAGACTTTGAAAGGAATGTTATTTAACTGATCAATATCAAATAGGTAATATTATCTCTGATTTGCCCATGAGGAGATAAATTCCAGAGGAAATTTTAAAGTGTCTCCAAGGTCACATAGGCTCGTACATGGTCAAGTTGGGGTTAGAACCCAGGCAGTTCAGCTCCAGAGTCCACGTTTCTTATGGCAATGCTGAACTTGTTTCTATGTTCACAGTAACAGGAGTTAAACATGCAATACCCAGACATTACTGGTTACTAAAATGGCATTTAATACGGCAGTCTTGAACGGTCATTCTACTGCTTTATGTATGCATTTACTTTTTTAGATTAGAAAGTATAGTTTAATTGAAAAGTAAACTAGAAAGAGAGAAAGAGGAGATTCACCTCCCCAGGGTAAGGGAGGACACCAGAGCTTAAGAAAACATGGCCTGGCCATAGCTCAAAGAGCACATGGCCACCCCACAGCTCAGCAAGGCCACGGCCCATCCTACTGCTTTAAAGCAAACAAACCAACCTGGGTCACCTAGAAATAATTTTCCTTTTCCAATCCCTCTGATAATCTGTGACCAAAGTCCACTGTAAAAAGAAGGTCTAGTAATTGGCCCCGAATCAATCATATTTCCCACCGATGAGTTAAGTGATTTATGTCAACTATTTCATTTAATTCACACCCCAACCCAACGAATTCATTATTAATTTCACCAGCTTTCATATTACGCTAAGAGAGACTAAGTCAATGTCCAGAAGTCTCATGGCCAAAGGAAGGCAGAGCTGGGCTTTAAGCTGAAGTCTGGCCCAAAGTGCATGCTCTTAACCACACCAGAGCTAAACATGTGCTTTGCCAGCACCATGTGTTTCCTCCAGCGTCCGGATGAAGGAAGATTGACTGGTGCAGCTTGGCCTAAGCCAACGGTCATGCAGAGTTCTCAATGTTCCAGTGCTGCAAACCAGTGGACTTGACTTAGGATTTCTGTTGCGTATTTTAAAGTAAACTGAATGTTCAGTTGAAGCTTGCAAAGATCCTAGTCCCAGACATTGAAATTTATTTTATAAAATGACTTACTTTAAACTCTTAAATTTGCATAAGTGTATAAATAATGAAGTCAGTTCCCACTTAGATTCTTATCACAAAGTTCTATTTTCAGCCATGCCACCGAGATTCAGGAGTACATTTGTTTCTAAGATTGAGAGCCGTACTGGAAAGCAATCTAGAAAGATTTGTCACATGGCAAAATACCTCATCTATTTACTGTGCTCCAACTACAAAAGAAGAAGGAGGAACTGTCTTGTAATTCTTCAAATGTGTGTCTCCAGTAATACCAATTTTTTTTTTTGAGTTGGAGTCTCACTCTGTCACCTAGACTGGAGTGCAGTGGCACACTCCCGGTCACCGCAGCCCTGACCTGTGGGGCTCCAGTGATCCTTCCACCTCGGCCTTCCAAGTAGCCGGAACCATAGGCGTGTGCTACCATGCCTGGCTAATTTTTGACTTATTGTAGAGACAAGGTCTCGCTGAGTTGCCCAGGCTGGTCTCGAACCCACAGGCTCAGGCAATCCACTCACCTAGGCCTCCCAAAGTGCGGGGAAGACAGGCTGAGCAACCAAGCCCAGCCAATATCAATGTTTAATTTCTCTCATCAACATGTGCTGGTTACTTAATGCCAGTATGGACATTTGGATGTATAACAACATATATGTGGCAATATCATTTAACAGGTCTACATGCATGTATGTTTGTGTATTTGTCTATGTATATAATTTAACATTACCAATGGATCAAAGTATTGGAAATATATTTTATACAAAGTATTTTTAGTTAAAATAATCTAAAGTTATCTTGACTAAATAATTTTTGGCGTTCTGATTCCAAAGTTGTTACCAGAGCTGATTCAGGGTACAAAGCGATACCCACTTAATGTGTCAGTTGTCAAAGAGATAAAGAGATTCAACTAAATTTCTTTAGTAGAATTTTAAATGTAAAGTAGTAGGATGAACCATGCTAAATTCTATTCAAGCTCCTTGGATCATAGCACATAGTATTCAGGAATGCCTCTGGGTTTTGTTTTCTTAGCTATACATTTAAATTCACACATTCAATAAATTATGAATGCGTCGTGTGTTTTACCTATCTACATGACTATGCAATTTGGTTTCTAAAGCAACATTTCTAAGGGGAATGATAGCTACTTATAAAAAATAGTATCAGGGCCAAAAAGATTTAAAAAAACCAAGAGTTAGGAATTAATAGGGCAATAAGACAAATAATTTTATAAGGATTGAACTAGAAATATGTGTCCATTTCTTTAAAAATAAACTCTAGCTATATTTTAAAAATATGCACCAAAATAGTTTGCTTACTTCTAACTACTTTATAAAAACAAGACTAATTAAAAACACAACCAAATAAAAAAGTCTAACATGCAAACAAAGACACATTAAGTTTCAAAAACTTACCAAAAACATAGTGCAGGTAACTTATCCATTTGTCTTAACTTTTCAACAAGAAGAGGAAACATCTCTACCTCATATTTTGAACTAGACAATGACTCAGGGCTAAGATTCTTCAGTACTTGTTTGACCTAGAGTAGTAAATAAAAATTATTTTTTTTAAAAAAAGAATTCGCATAAATAGAAGAAATAAAAGAATTACTTAGTTGGCTAAAATTTGAAGAATTTTTCAGAGATAATTTTTGTGGGTTCTAAAAAATAGTCCTCTTAAAATATATTGTCAGATTATGGTGAAAATCAACAGAGTAATAGATTCAAAATATTAAAGAATAGATATAAGATGTTATATATAACTTTTTAAAGGTACTACAAATAAGTCACATGTATATGGAGTGCTCAGGAAATGCTGCTGTCTTATCTGTTGGAAGAAAGGTGACTCAGATATAAAAATAACTTCCAAGTATATATATATATATATTTATTTTTTATTATAGAGATGTGGGGTACAATTCGGGGTTAGGTAACACAACGTTGATTATGCAGGCACCCTTACTGATGAGGTATGCCCCTCCCTCCCCTAGCAGTATCCCTCAATGGTCAATCCCACCCCCCTTCCCCTGGCAGTTTCCCACTACTGCCAAACTCTTTCTTATAGTATAATTGTTCAAGGTCCGCTTATGAGTGAGAACATATGGTACTCTGTTCTTTGTTTCTGGGTTAAATCACTGAGTATGATTGACTCTAATCCATCCAAGTTGCTGTGAAGTCCATATGTTTGTCCTTCTTTATGGCTGCGTAATATTCCATTGTGTATATGCACCATATTTTTTTTATCCAGTCCAGCTTCGATGGGCAGCGTGGTTGGTTCCATGTTTTTGCTATTGTGAATAGAGCTGCAACAAACATACATGTGCAGGTATCTTTTTTGTAGAATGATTTGAGTTCCTCTGGGTATATCCCAATAGGGGACTTGCTGGGTTATATGGAAGACCAATTTCTAGGTCTTTGAGAAATCACCACACTGTCTTCCAAAGAGGTTGCACTAGTTTGCATTCCTACCAGCAGTGTAGAAGTGCTCCTTTTTCTCCACATCCTCGCCAGCATCTGTTGTTGTTTGTTTTATTAATGATGGCCATCTTACTGGGGTTAGGTGGTATCTCAATGTGGTTTTGATTTGCATTTCTCTGATGATGATTGAGGCTGAGCACTTTTTCATGTGTCTGTTGGCTGCCTGTATATCTTCCTTTGAGAAGTGTCTATTCATGTCTTTTGCCCACTTTTTATTTTTTTGAGTTGGAGTCTCACTCTGTCGCTCAGACCGGAGTGCAGTGGCACGCTCCCAGCCACTGCGGCCTCGCCTGCTGGGCTCTGGAGATCCTTCCGCCTCAGCCTTCCAAGGAGCTGGAACTACAGGCGCGTGCTACCAAGCCCGGCTAATTTTTGATTGATTGTAGAGATGAGGTCTCGCCAAGTTGCCGGGCGGGTCTCGAACCCGCGGGCTCCGGCAATCCACTCACCTCAGCCTCCCAAGGCACGGGATGACAGGCTGAGCCACCGAGCCCAGCCTTTTGCCCACTTTTTAATGGGGCTGTTTGGTTTTTTCCTTTCAGCACATTTGGTTTCCTTGTAGATCCTAGACGTTAGACCTTTGTTAGATATACAGTTGGCAAATATATTTTCCCATTCTGTGGGCTGTCTCCCTGCTGTTTTGATGGTGTCTTTTGTTTTGCAGAAGCTTGTTAGTTTGATGAGGTCCCACTTGTCTATTTTATTTCTGAAGGTATTGGCCTTTACGGTTCTGAATAGGAATTGGTTGCCAGTTCAAATTTCCATAAGGGTGTCTCCTGTGTTTTCTAAGGTTCTTATAATTTGAGGTTTTACGTTTAGGTCTTTGATCCATTTAGAGTTAATTTTTTAGGGTGATAAGTAGGGGTCTTGTCTCAATCTTCTGCATGTGATCAGCCAGTTTTCCCAGCCATTTACTGAATAGGTTCTCCTCTCCCCAGTGGTTGTTGTTGGAGGCTTTGTCAAAGATGAGTTGGTTGAGGAATTGAGGATTTGCTTCCGGAATCTCTATCCAGTTCCATTGGTCTATGTTCCTGTTCTTATACCAATACCATGCTGTTTGATTACTGTAGCCTTGTAGTATAGTTTGAAGTCTGGAAGTGTGATACCTCCTGCTTTGTTCTTTTGCTAAGGATTGTTTTGGCTATTCATGGTCATTTGTGTTTCCATATGAATTTCTGTATTGTCATTTCCAGGTCTGAGAAGAATGATGTAGGTAACTTAATGGGTATTGCACTGAATCTGTAGATTGCCTTTGGTAGGATGGACATCTTAACACTATTGATTCTTCCTATCCATGAGCATGGAATATTTTCCCATTTGTTTGCATCTTTCTGGATTTCTTTGAGCAGTGTTTTTTTAGTTCTCATTGTAAAGGTCTTTTACTTCTCTGGTTAGGAAGATGCCGAGGTATTTCATTTTTTGGGTGGCTATTGTAAATGGGATTGTGCTTTTTATTTGGGTCTCTGCCTGCTTGTTGTTGGTGTAAAGAAATGCAACTGTCTTTTGCACATTTATTTTGTACGCTGAGACTTCCCCAAAGTCCTTTATCAGTGCAAGCAGGTTTTTGACAGATTCTCTTGAATTTTAAAGGTATAGAATCATATCATCAATAAAGAGGGATAACTTGACTTCTTCTTTTCCTATTTGGATATCCCTGATTTCCTTCTCTTGTCTAATTGCCTTAACTAGGACTTCCAACACATTGTTGAACAAGATGGGTGAGAGTGGGCAGACTTGTCTTGTCCAGTTTTCTGGGGAAATGTTCTCAGTTTCTGTCCATGTAGCAATGTGTTAGCTGTGAGTTTGTCATAGATGGCACTTACTATTTTGAAGTATATTCCTTCTATATCTAGGTGTTTGAGGGTTTTTTATCAAGAAGGGATGCTGGATTTTATCAAAAGCATTTTCTGCATCTAATAATATAACCATGTGGTTCTTGTTTTTACATCTGTTGATGTATTTAATTCCATGTATGGTCTTGCAAATGTTGAACCAGCCTTGCATCCTGGGGATGAAGCCTACTTGGTCGTGGTGGATGATTTTTGAGATGTGTTTTTGGATCTGATTTGCTAGAATCTTGTTGAGGATTTTTGTATCTATGTTCATAAGGGACATTGACTTGTAGTTCTCTTTTTTGGTTGGATCTTTATTTGATTTGGGTATCAGTGTGATGTTAGCTTTGTAAAATGATTTGGGGAGAATTCCATCCTTCTCAATTTTGCCTGAAATACTTTCAGTAGGATTGGTATCAGCTCCTCCTTGTATGTTTTGCAGAATTCTCCTGGAAAGCCATCTGGTTCAGGGCTTTTTTAAAGGTAGTTTTTGTATGTCAGTCAATTTACTGGGTTGTTATTGGTCTATTTAGTGTCTCAATGTCTTCTTGTTTCAACCTGGGGAGGTTGTGTGATGTCAGAAAGTCCTCCATTTCATTTGTGTTACCAGTTTGTTTCCATATAGGTGTACAAAGTAATCTCTGATAATCTTTTGTATTTCTTCAGGGTCAATTGTGATTTGATCTTTTGTATTTCTGATTGTGCTTATTTGGGTTTATCTCTCTTTGTCACGGCCATTCTGGCTAGGGGTCCATCAATCTTGTTAATTCTTTCAAAGAACCAGTTTTTTGTTTTGTTGATGTTTTCTATGATATTTTTGTCTTCTATGGTCTATATTTGGGCTCCTATTTTGGTGATTTGGATTCTTCTGCTAAAGTTGGGGTTTTGGTGGTCTTCTCTTTCTAGCTCGCTTAGGTGATTTGTTAGCCTCTCCACTTGTGATCTTTCTATTTTCCTTGATGTGTGCTCGTAGAGATATAAATTCCGCTCTTAGAACTCTTTTCATGGCATCCCAGAGGTTTTGGTAAGATATTTCTTCATTTTCATTTGTTTCCAGGAATCTTTTAATGTGTGCTTTGATTTCAGTATTGATCCAGTAGTTGTTCAGCATCCTGCTATTTAGTGTCCATGTCTTTGTGGGCTTTGGGGAAATGTTGTTGGTTTTGATATTTATTTTTATTCCACTGTGGTCTGAGAATGTGCATGGCAAGATTTCAACCTTATGAAATTTGTTTATGCTTGATTTATGGCCAAGGATGTGATCGATATTGGAGTACATTCCATGTGGTGAGAGTAGAATATGTATTCTGTGGTTGTTGGGTGGAATAATCTGTAGGTATCTATTAAGTACATTTTGGTCAAGTGTCAAGTTTAGGTTCTGGATCTCCTTGTTGATTTTTTTGCCTTGATTATCATCTAGGGCTGTTAGTGGGGTATTCAATCCCCTGTGATAACAATGTTAGAGTCAATATGTTTCTTTAGCTTACTTAGTAGTTGCTTTATAAATGCTGGTGCTCCTGTGTTGGGGGCATATATGTTTAGGATGGATATTTCTTGTTGATGGATTGACTGTTTTATTATTATGCAATGTCCTTTTATATCTTTTTTAATTTTTGAAAGCTAAGGTTGTTTTGTCTGATATTAAGTTCGCAACTCCTGCCTTCTTTTGTGATCCATTTGTCTGGAAACTCATTTTCCATCCTTTAACTTTAAGTATGTGTATGTCCCTTGTAGTGAGATGAGTCTCCCGGATGCAGCAGATAATTGGGTCATGGTTTCTTATCCAGTTTGCCATTATGTGTCTTTTCAGTGGTGCATTTAATCCATTCACATTCAGGCTGATTATTGAAATGTGATTATTGCTGTCATGAGGTTCTTATAAAGTTTTTTCTTTGCTTGTTTTCTTTTGGCTTTGGGGTTAATATAAGTATGTTTCAAGTTTCTTGTTGCACTGTATTCTCTGTTGATTCTGTGCTCTACTGTTCTCTTGGGAAGTGTGTGGTCATTCTTTTTTTTCTTTCTTCTGTGCTTAATCTATTTTTAAGTGTCTCCTGTAGAGCTGGTCTGGATGTTGCATAATCTCTTAGGGATTGGGTGTCAGGGAAGGATTTTTATTCTCCATCACTGATGAAGCTGAGCTTGACTGGATAGGAAATTATTGGTTGAAACTATTTATCTTTGAGGACTTTGAATATAGGGCTCCGGTCCCTTCTTGCTTGTAGTTTTTCTGTTGATAGGTTTGCTGCTATTCTGATTAGTTCTTCCCGGTAGGTAGTCTGACTTTTCTCTCTTGCTGCCTTTAGGATTTTTTCTTTTGTGCCTACCTTGTGTAGGCAAGTTGCTATGTGTCTAGGGATTGGTCTTCTCATTTAATGTCTTGTAGGAGTTCTCTGTATCTCTTGTGCTTGGTTGGTCACATCTCTGGTGAGATGGGAAAGTGTTCTTGGATTATCTCCTGGAATACTTGCTCCATGTTGTTCTCCATTTCCCTTTCTTTTCCTGGGATACCAATCAGGCATAGGTTCAGCCTCCTGGTATAATCGCAAATCTCTTGTAGGCTTTGTTCTTTCTTTCTGAGTCTTCTTTCTATTTTTTTTTTACAGAGCTGGTTAATTCCATGTTCTGGTCTTCAAGTTCTGAGATTCTTTCTTCAGCTAGATTAATTCTTCTTTCCATGCTTGTCATCCTGTTATTTATTTCCTAGATGAAATTTTTTTATTGCCAAAATCTCTGTTACAAGTTCTTTCATTGTTGCATCTTATCTTTCCTGAGTCTTATTCACTTTTTCCATCCATTCCCTAATCCCTGTTGTATTCTGGGGCCAGTCATTGGTGACTTCCATTGTTTGGGCACCAAGGTCTGATTTTTCAGTTTTGTCTTCGGTACACTTGAAATTGCCTGAGGTCTTCCTTTGGTTTTCCTAATTTGTGACAGATCTCTTGTTTTTCTCTTCAGTTCTGTTATTCAGTGTCAGTGGGAGAGGCTTTCCCTTCTGATGTTTGCTCCATCCTCTATGCTTCCCTGATCCAGGCTCTGGATTTGTTCCATTTTGAAGTAGGATAGTGAATAGGTAAAATAGCTTCCAAGTATATTAAAGAGGACATAAAACCAGTGATGGGGGGAAAAAAGTCTTAAAATAAAAAGGATATTTTAGCTATGTTAATCGATAATTTGCAATAATATAGAGACATATTTATGTTATAATCTTAGCTGAAAATTCAAGAGTTGAATGAGTTACAAAAGGGACCAGAGGGAGGTGCAACTTCAAACTGCCTCAGAAATTGATGAACTTGTGGGTGATGATTTTTATTCTACTATTCCTTATTTTACAGTTTTCTATAAAGAGCACTTACTATCTTTTTAATCAGAAAAATAAATGTTATTTTATTTTGATAAAATTAATATGAAATTTCTTTACATAATATACAATGGAAAGGCTTTAATGAAATAAAAAAGTAATGTGCTATCATGAATATATTTTATTGATGAAGTCATTTTCCTTTTTAGGCATCATTTGGGAGTGGTGGGTAGGGAGGACCGTGGTATTCAGTTTTTTCTTGGTTAACATTGAATGGAACACAGCAGTCTGTGCCAAAAAGACTAAAATACTTGCTGTAATTGCATTTCCTGATAGCAATGCCATCGTCATGTTTATTTCTCTTACTGCTACAGTGAACAAGGCAAATAAGCATGGGGCCCAATCAGCAGACTGGAATCAAAGGTTCATCAATCCCAATGTTCAAGGGTAGCTCTGCTTCTCAGCGTAGCCACTTATGAGTCTGGCATCTATAAATTTGTCTGAGTTTCTTTCACGTATATTTGTATTTCTTCATCTATCATCATGTTCATGAGTCTCAGAAATAGTTTTGTTTGTTTGTTTGTTTGTTTGTTTGTAGTTGTAGTCTCACTCCGTTGCCCAGGCTGGAGTGCAGTGGCTCACTCACAGCCACTCCAGCGTCGACCTGCTGGGCTCTGACAATCCTTCCGCCTCAGTCTTCCAAGTAGCCGGAACTGCAGGTGTGCACTACCACACCAGCTTATTTTTTATTTATTGTAGAGACAAGGTCTCGCTGAGTTGCCTGGGCTGATCTCAAACCCGCAGGCTCAGATAATACACTCGCCTTGGCTTCCCAAAGTGCTGGGATGCCAGGCTGAGCCACTGATCCCAGCTAGGAATTGGTATTTTTATGGGATTTATTTTTATTTGCCCTGAACTGACATAGGTTGGTCCCGCTAACTCCTAATCTTCTCAGATATCATCCTTGGGAGCCAGGCCCTCTTCTGTGAAGGCATCAGCAACATGGGTGTTTCTGCTATGGGGATCTGTGCTTTCACGCTTTTTTAAGCTGTTACCTGAAGGAATCTAAAGCCTACAGAACATGCGTTAGTGGGCACTGAGCAAAGAGATAAAACTAGTTTCCTCCTCTTTTTTCCTGCCCCAGACTCACTGAGTAACATGCTTAAATGGACATTCTAAAATGAAAATTGGAATAAAAACAGTATAAAATGGGCATTGGCTAAATTTTACAACTCCAAACAACAATTCAGAGAAACTTTGTCCAAGAAAGTTTGAAAATTACCTTCTGTACTTTGCCGTTTTTAATCCAGCTTGTTAATTCTGCCTTTAAGTTTTCTTCGTATTTTCTAGCATCCAACTTTTTAATGACTATTTTATTCTTAAAAAGAGTGAATTCCTCTGGACACAATTCCTTGAGGAAAAAAATTATCACAAAATTAATTTATGAAATCTACATTTAAAAATACAAGGGTGTATTTGAGTTTACTTGTCTCCTTAACCAAATTGCAAACTTCTTGAGGGCAGAGACTGTTGGACATCTTTTTAACCCCTCATAATTTCTGCCACATAAGCTTGTGATGATAGGTAAGCTCTCCAAAAGAAAGGATATAATGTACATCCAAGGAAAAGATGAAGTGGGTAGAGAGGAGAAAATTGAAGCAAATAAAATTTTTAAAAGAATTATTATGGTATCCCCAAAGCTGAAAGAGTAAATATTTTCAAGAATTACAGGATATTCCATCTAACAAACTATAACAAAGTCAAGAAGAATGTCTGAGAATAAGAAAGAGTAACTGATTATTTTCAAATAAAATCTTTCACCACGTTAAGAGAATAAGTGCATTTACCTGAAGAATAATTTTTGCCATATTCTTAAAGAGCATTAACTAAAGTTAGTTTCCGTGAGTATATATTTTCATCTTTACCTGAGCCCTGGGCCAAGTTTCCCAGACTTGAACCATGGCATCATAAAGCTGAATGCTTTCTTGAGGGGTGAGGGTCAGATCAGGTGAAAATCCATAATTTTTGATCTGTGAATAAATAAATCAATTAACAGATGGATGAATGAATTACATGAAAATGTTTACATTTCCTTTTATATTATATTATGTCGTATTCGCTGCCTCAAATCTTTACCCATGAATCCTGGGATGTTAGAGGACAATAAACTGAAATATTTCACCTCTGCAAGAATCTAACTGTTAACAAAATCTTAATCAAGAAGCATCCCTAACCCACTGAAATAGAAAACCCCAAAGTACTCTGATACGTTTTTGTATTATTTCCTAAGTCTATTTGTACCAGATAATAAACTAACTGCTCTAGAAAACATCTCTAGAATGCCAGTGAGGGTCCAGAGCCGCTGAAAATATGAACACTCACAACATAGTGTTAGTTTAGACAAAAGTACACCCTTCCTTATGTAATTTATCTTTGAAACTGAAATAGAAATATGTTTGAAGAGAAAGATGACTTTATGAGTACTAAGGCATGCTGAAAGGGACAAAGCTTTGTCCTCAGAAATCCAACATAAGAGCTGCATCAACTTTAAGAAGACAAAGTCTCTCCAACAACCTTTGGATACTCAAATTTCTACCTGCTGGCAACTCCAGTGACTGACCAGCTTCTGTCTCACACCTTTAGAATAAACGCACAACTTCCTCTCTCACAAACACTTTCGGTGTAAATCTTGTTCTCGTAGAGTTTACATTTTATACTCTGGCTTCAAACACCACTCGTCCTAATGTACTATGTGCAAAAGAGACAGAATAACATCTCCCAAACTATGACCCTAGGAAACAACATTCTAAAGGTGGGGAATCTATGGGAAGGGCTCTGTTAAACAGTTATCCAAGCATCTTTGTGTCAAGAGTTCTGTTCTGTTCATGTGTACCATGAATCTTCAAGAAAGGGCCATGGCATGACACTCCTCCCAAACTTACTTGAGGAAGGAACCTTTGTTTTTAAAAATACCCAGTACTTGTTCCTCAAAGACTGGAGACACGGGATTCAAGAAGCCCCTCCAAGAAACAGAGTTTGGAGAGCAAAGAAGGACTGTTGGCGGACAGCACTCATGGTGCCCACGACTGGCTGTAGTCATAGCCCTAATCACTAGTTCCTTGGGGCCCAGGGTCGCTTTTTGACAATGTGAGAAGGACAATATCTTTCCCATTTGTCTTTCAAGACTGTGGTGAGATTCAAACACGTTAAATAGACGAGGATTTTCTTCTTATAGTGTGCTACGCAGCATGAATGCAGAGGGTCATCATTTCACAGCTCGCAGACCAGATTTATGAAGCGAGTAGATAGCAAGGACTACCCCAGGACACATCAGGAAATGGACACGTTATCTTGGAAGGTGAGGCTTCCAGTGTCTTGTAAACTGTATCTGGCAGGTGACCAACACTCTGCCTCTAAAACGAGGCTATTCCTGTCTTAAGTCATTGGAGTTTTCTAAGAATTGTCAGGTTCATACTCATGTCATGCTGCCATGCTGCTATTTCAGTCTCTGTAACAATAGTGAGGTAATTTTCAAAATGTTTCCCACACTTTTATGGATGCCCTGATTTCCTCGTCTCTGAAATGGGGATAATGATCCTTAGGTCACAGGTCTGTTGCAAAGATTAAATGATACAATGCAGGAGGGGGGACCCCAAAAAACCCCAGAATTTATTTAGTAAAAAATTGTGTTTTCATGCTTACATGTTTAAACCCCAGTCGCCTCCAAAGTACTCTCCATTTGATGCAGAACACCTATCAACGCTTTTTTTACTGCTCAAAACAGTCTTTGAACTCATCTGTTTTGATGCCTTTTAGCGCTTCTGCCGTTTTTGGTTTCACCTCTTCCACAGGGGCAAAACGTTTCCCTCTGAGGACTTTTTTCATCCAGGGAAACAAAAAAAAAAGTCGCTTGGGTGAGACTGGATGAATAGGAAGGGTGGGGAACAGGGGTCACACCAATTTAGGTCCAAAACTGCTGAATACTAAGCGTGGAGTGGGCAGGTGTGTTTTCACAGTAGAAGAGCCAGTCATCTGTTTGCCACAACTTGGGACATTTGTTCTGCAAATAGGGATGCAAAACTTCCAGATAAAAACTGATGGGTTCCTAGAACACTTATCTAATAGAGGACACCTGTACTACAAAGGGCCTGCCCTCCAAAAAATAATTCTGGTTTCGTTGGGGTTCCCCCTTGTATATAATATGCTCTTAAGATGCCTGGCCCTTTTTTTTAGTATCCCACCCGTGAAAGTGATGATCAGCGCTCAGGTATCCTTTTTCATCCATTTATCATTCCATCACCCAGAGGTTATATTAGACTCAGTCATTCTCTGTACAACATGTAATTAGCTGGCATCTCTTAAGTCAGCCAAAAGGACTTATAAAATGATATAGAGCCGGGTTCGGTGGCTCAGCCTGTCATCCCGTGCCTTTGGGAGGCCGAGGTGAGTGGATGGCCTGAGCCCGCGGGTTCGAGACCCGCCTGGGCAGCGAGACCTCATCTCTACAATAAATTAAAAAATCAGCCGGGCGTGGTAGCGCGTGCCTGTAGTTCCAGCTACTCGGAAGGCTGAGGCAGAAGGATCACCGGAGCCCAGCAGGTCGAGGCTGCGGTGGCCGGGAGCGGCCACTGCACTCCGGTCTGGGCGACTGAGTGAGACTCCGACTCAAAAAAAAAAAAAAAAGATATAGAAAGGCAATATATAAGAGAAAAGACGTACTATTTCTTCATTCATGAGCAAAATCATATCATACCACAATGCTCTTTTTGCAAGAATAAACGTAGAATAAATAAGAAATGAACGAAAAGTTGTAGATGATGGCAAACACTTATGAGAACTGGACAGAAAGCGAGAGACAGCAACTCCTTCGAGGAGCTCCTGGGGATGACAGCCTCCTGGGGTTGAGCAACTGTTCTCTCACAGCAAGGGCATTCATGGGAGGGCCTGCAGCTCCCCTCTTTGCCCCGGAGCAAGCCGTGCATGGAAGCTGGTTCCCACAGCCAGCCCACTCAACCTGTCCCGTGCCTTCCTTCCTGAAGCTATTTCCATGAGAGCCACGGAGAAGTCCAACGTCAGAAGGCTCCCCTTTCATTCTTCCTGCCTCAGTTTTGTGGCTGCCTCAATGTACTCTGCTTCCCCTCATGGTCTAGAAGTGTCCGTTTAATCTGATGGATGCTCTCCTAGGACAGGAATAATTTGCTCATTTGAACATACCAACTTGCTGTTATGATCGCTACCTTAGGAGCACAAAGAAAGGCCTTGGGTAAATGCATGCCTCACAAATGTAAACATAAGCACGGCTCTCGATTTATCTCCAGGCATGAAAAAGTCAAGAGTAAAAGAGCGACCGGGCATGGTGGCTCACGCCTGTAATCCCAGCACTTTGGGAGACAAAGATGAGAGGATTACTTGGGCCCAGGAGTTTAAAGTCAGCCTGGGCAACATAGCGAGCCCTCATCTCTACAAAAAAAAAGAAAAAATCTAAACATTAGCCAGGCATGGTGGCACGTACCTGTAGTCCTAGCTGTTTGGGAGGCCTAGGCAGAAGGATTGCCTGAGCCCAGGAGGTCAAGGCTGCAGTGAGCTGTGATCACACCACTGCACTCTAGTCTAGGTTACAGAGAGAGACCTCAACTCAAAAATAAAAAAAGTAAATATTTAAGACTCATGCAATCAAGATGCAACACTGAAAGAACTTGTAACAGAGATTTGGGCAATAAAAAATTTCAAAAAAATACCCCTCATACAATCATACAATGGCATTGCCATGCAAAAGTCATATAGGGTCAGAACACACAGTAGTGTTTCTGTTGCTTTCCAGTGATTCCATTAATAGCTACTGAGAGAAGAGGAAGGCATGTGGCCCAAAATGATGATCTCACCAAGAACTCCAAGCCACCACTGTACTCACAACTGCTTAAAGGTGATTTGTCTCGAATCACCCTAAGCAGAGCAAACCATTAAAAAAATTATAAAATATTTACTATGCAATTACTTATTGGGAACTCTATGCTGAAATGTCAAAATATAATTGAAAAGTTTAAAAATGATGCATCTTGGCCAGGCTTGGTGGCTCAGCCTGTCATCCCAGCACTTTGGGAAGCCAATGTGAGTGGGTTTGAGACCCGCCTGGGCAATGTAGTGAGACCTCATCTCTACAAGAAATCAAAAGTTAGCTGGGTGTGGTAGTGCGCACCTATAGTTCCAGCTACTTGGAAGGCTGGGGCGGAAGGATCGCCAGAGCCCAGCAGGTCGAGGCCGGGATGGCCGTGAGTGTGACACTGCCCTCTAGCCAGGGCGACGGAATGAGACTCCAACTCAAAAAAAAAAAAGATGCGTCTTTATCATACACGTATTCTCTAGGCATGGACTCAGGGATGTGGGGAGGCATGGAGGCAGGATGTCATATGAACATCATTTAGCATGAGTCACTGCAAAGCAAAGAAGCTACATAATGAAATTACACTTGAACACTTTGGAAGACAGAATCGCTTCAGTGGGGTTGTACATACCCTCGATCATCATAGCGCAGTCTATGAAGTCATTTCCATTCAACCTCTCACGCACGTATTCAATCCACAAATGGTGGTTAAGAACATTAGGCTTTTGAGTCGGATCATTGGAGTCCGTTTCCTAGCCTGACAGTTACTAACTGAATCCTTGGGTTCGCTGTATAACCTCCCAACCTCTCTCTTTCTTCATTCATAAGCCGGGAATAATCATAGTACACTTATTATAAAGATGCCGTGAAGGTTACAGGTGGAGTAACTATAAATGCTTAGGCAGTGTCTGCCACATAGTTAAATTCTCAACATATGTCCAACAGTTCTCATTCCACAAATATTTGCTGAGCCACTTTTGTGTACATGGCATTATGCATTAGCTATAAGGTAATCCAGGGGCAAAAAAGCACAAAATTTTTCATGAAGGAATTTACAATCCAGTAAGAAAAAGAAGGCATGCAAACAAAAACAATTATAAAAGCAGGCTGACCATAACTGGTGTCATTTAAAAAATACAAATAATATGTTACATATATTCAGAATAGAAGATTACTTCCATGAGGTAAGAACCTAGAAAGACTTCTGGAAAAGATCCCAAGTTAGCATGGAAGAGAAATAGGATCTGGAAATTGAGGGGAAGCATTCCAGGTAGAGGATATAGCAAGAAGCCTTCCAGATAACATACATTCAGGTGCAAAGGAGAGTAGGGTCTAGGTTATAGAAGACTTTGAAAGTCAACCTAAGAAATATGGCATTTATTTATTTCCAATGGAGGAACATTAAAGGCTTTTGAGTAGAAGAGGGAGAGGATCAAAATTATGTTTTAAGAAGATCAACAAGGCAGCAGGATTTTGGAGATAACACAATACAAAGATGACCAGCTATTGGTGGATGGCATTATGCCTTTGAGAGGCAACTTGGGCCTCTACGGTTTTGTCGTGGGAAAAGGAGGCGCGACAAGCAGGAGAAACTAATGTCTTCTCGCACTCCTAATCAGGTGCTCAAACGGAGAGCCCTTAAGACCTCCACCTTACCAATCCACCACAAATAAGTCATGTCAGGATGTCCATGTTAGTGTCTCCTCTTTGCTCAGACTATTTGATAATGAGAACATTCTGACATGTGCCCACACAATTGCAGCTGCACTCTTAGCCAGAGAAGCAGACGACAGAAATAGGTGCTAAGAAGCTAGGTAGGGCGACACAATGTCTGCAAATAAAGAAAAAGAATAACCAAAGATCCCCTATTAGAACACTCCATTCCTTCCTCTCTAGTCATTAAACTTTGGGTGTCCCAAATAACTTTGAGGGTCTAATGAAACTAGAAGAACATGAAAACACAAAATGTTTAGGGAGTTTGCATTCTCTGGGAAGTCCATCCTTGACGTCCATGCACCTGAGGTTAAGACCATCTGCGTTTGCTGCAATTCTATGAAGATTAATAACCACGTTCGAGTTATGACACACACTCAAAATTCCACTCACAGGACAAACACGGCTGTATACTTACGTGATCTGTCGTGAGTGCAGCACATGGGTGAAAACGATCAAAATAAATGTCATCATGTCTTACGGAACATATATGCTTCTCTAGATCATTGTACCTCTCTCCACAAAGCACTAAAATGAAGAGTGAGAATTTCCAACTCAGTGGAAATGCAATGACTGTGATAAAGTAAAAGGTACAGTCTTTATGAATACATCAAACATACCAAGTCTGACTTTATATGATTGACTTATAGGCCAGCTGCGTCGGAGAAAGTGGAGACGTTTGGCGCCCTTCTTTTCAGAAACAAATTCTTCTTCCAGAATCTCGTCTGCCTGTTTCCAGTACTGTTTTACTGATTGCAGCCACCTTGCAGAATAAATATGCACATTATTTAAGCAACATATGGAACTATCTATAGCATCAAGAACTTAGACATTTTAAGCAAAGAAAATTCCACAAGTCTAATTTATACTTCAGCACATGGACTCTGGATTTAAAGTGTCTGAGTTTGAATCCTAGCTCCATCACTTTGTAGCCGTGGATTTTGGGCAAGTTCTTCATCTTCTCTGCACCTCTGTGTCTTCATAATAAAATGGAAGCTAACAGTTGTACCTTCCTCTCAAAGGTTGTAGAAACTAATGAGTTCATATACTTCCCACATAGGAAGCACGATGTGAGTGTTCATTGTCAGTGTTATTGTTGCCACTAGGAAAAATCAAGTCTATTGTTGCCACTAGGAAAAATCAACAAAACAACATTTAATATTCATAGACTGCTTTGTTGTTCTTATGATCATTATCTCCAGTGTCAATGTCTGTGTCCAGTTGATTTCCATTTTAGCTCTTTGATAAGAACAAAGAAAGGAAGACCTCACTCTATTGCTTACTTCAGATAGCATTTATTTGACAACTTTTGGAAATCTTCCTATACAGTCTTAGATCTGGCTGTGGGAGAACCTGATTTTCCTTTGGGAAAGATGTCTTCCTCCTAGACGTTCAGAAACCACAAGGAGGGACTTAAAAAAAAAAAACCCAAGATTATGTTTTGGAGAATGGGCCCCTTGTCGTACAGGCTTTACCTGTAAAAGTAAGGGTTCTGGGAACCCATGGGTATCAGTGTACCGGCTAGTGTTGTGGTGAGAGGCTGAATTCGGCTTCAGTGAAATTTTTTTTTTTGAGAGTGTTTCAACTCATTTGCCCATTTCATGATGGGTGATTTATATGAACATGTCCACACCACATGACCCCTGTGCCTCACCCACTTCATACACCCCATCTCATCCGGAGAGACTTTTTCTTGTTACCCTAGATGAAAAAAGTCCTCAAAGGGAAACACTTTGTCAACGTGGAAGAGGTGAAACAAAAAACAGCAGAAGCACTAAAAGGCATAAAAATGGCAAATTCAAAAACTGTTTTGAGCAGCGGAAAAAGCATCTCCATGGGTGTGTTGCATCAAACAGTACTTTGAAGGTGACTGAAGTTTAAACATATAAAAATAAACACACACTTTTTAATAAATAAATTATGGGGGCTTTGGGCCCCCCTTATACATATTCAAAATCTTTTTTAGAAAACTAGGGTGGTGATGCACACTGTCGTGCCCCAGCTATTCAGGAGGCTGAGGCAGGAGGATCACCTGAGCCAGGAGCCAGCCTAGGCAGCACAGCAAGACACCTGAAGCTTCAAAAATCCGGTAATAAATTTATTTGAAAGTTATAACGTTATAGAAATAGACTTTAAAATTTCAAACCATACAGATAGTACATAATTCACCCGTTAAGTCTATAATAGCCATTCTTTCCAAAATAGAATCTATACTTACTTAGTGAGAAGGTCAGGGTTATAGATGGTAGCCGAAAGAACCAAAAAGGGACATCGGATCATGACCAGGAGGAGCTCCCAAAATTTTACTCCAGTTTCTCTGCCGAGATAATGGACCTAGTAAAGAAAAGAAAATTATCACTTGAAAAGTTGATTTCAAGATGGTAAATGGAAAAAAAAAAAGCACAGAAGCATGGAATCATCACACCTGTTTTCACTATAACCAAGCCTAAATAAAGCGAATGGTAATTAATCCAATCAATTGAGAGTATAGACGTTTGGCTCTTCTTCGGTCTCCAGAGCTAATCCATCACTAATGCTGGTAGATTCCACTTCCAGAGTCTGTTTTGAAGCCATGCTGTCCCCTCCGTTCTTGTCACTTCTGCTACTGTTGCCCAGCTCTCTACAACTGTCCTCTGACTGTTCTCTTGATTTCCACTCTTCGCCTACACTGTCTTTACATTATAATCATGGTGTTATTATTAAACAAAACAAAAGTCCATTTAGACCGTGTCCCTAGTTAAAGGCCTTCGATGTCTTCGTGATGTATGTAGAGCAAACCACAAACCGCTTAGCTGGGAGTGTACCTTCCTGCATGATCTGGCTTCTACCCACCCATTCTCTCCCGAGCCTGCTCCAGACCGACCGACCTTCTTTGCATTCCTCGAACACACCTGTCCCACCACAATGCTTCACATCGGCTGCTCCCCCTGCTCAAAACCTCCATCCACCTCTCTTAGCTTACTATGCCTGCTTACTCTCCTCGCACCCCAGAGCTCTGCTGGCTGCCACATCCCCAAAAACACATTCCCTGAGCACCTACTCCAAAGCTTCCCATTTTGCCATCATTTAGTCAAAACAGACTTATTTCTTTTCAAGTCCTTATCACAGTGTTTACTTACATTTTTTCATCGGCAAATTTACTTGTTTACTTACTCTCTTCTTCACTAAGCCACAAGATCAGGCCTGGTAGACCAGGGAGAAAGCACAGTGACTGCACATAGTAAGCACTCAACGAATGATTGAATGAATCATTACCCTTGACCAAATAATACAAACTAAGACTTAGAGAAGAGGCCCAAATCTTGATCTTAATTAAGGAGAATAAATCATGACACTTGGATCTCACCTGGAGCCTAATAATAAATAAATAGGTAAACAAGCATATTCTCGTATCCCTTTTGACTTTGATCTGGTCAGACAATTAACCACTTTATCCAATATTAATCTTATATTCTGTATCAGCCTGTAACTTCTCTGCATTCTCTAGAATAGACAATTTTTAAAGCTTTCCTACAAGCAAGTTTTATGCATGCATAAATCAGGAAACCCAAGTTACCCAACATTATTGAGCTTATGCATGTTGAGATAAGGTCATAGTCCAAGGGTCTAGATTGTGACGATCAAGGATTTGTTTTGCTTCCACTTAAAACGGGGATATCTTACATCAGCAAGACACAGCACATTAAAAAAGAAACAGGGTCAGGGAAAGCAGAATGACAGCATGTTCCCCCACTTCGCACATGGAAAGGGCAGATGCACTCTAGGTTTGTGATTTAGTTCTCTTTTAAGTTGAAAACTCCTCGAAGCCATTCATTCTGTTTTCATCTCCTCCAATTCACATCGGGAGTGATATAGCTACGTCTCTCCAGGTCCTCACCGTGCTCCGTCTTGCTCTCTGACCAGTGAGCCTGCCCTTGGGAGTTGGCTCAGCCAGCCTTCTGAGCTCTCCGGCCCCTGTTGGGTTTGGCCAGCGGGAAGCACAGACAAGAGACGGAAAGGAGAGGAGACAGGGAGATCCAGGGCTTCATACCGTTGGCTCCCTCCCTGAGAGGCCAAGCTTGGCTGGCTGTGGTCCTCCACCAAGGTCACTGTTCTCTCCAAAGAGACATAGCTACAGACTCTCTTCTTTTGAGACCCATAGTGTTTTTCCTCCCTTCCTTCCTCCAGGCAGTAACAGCTTGGGACTTGTACTGTTCTGGATTCCTGCACTTATCTTGTGGTTTTCCTCACACAAACCTTCATAAACAGCTCCTTTAAAAAAAACAGTTTTCTAAAAAGTATACTAATTTGAATATGCAATCTGTTTTCAGTAGGTGCCCTGGCTAACACACAACTTAGATACGTACCATCATTGACAGAGCTCTGTATTCTCTAAATTAGAAATGATGGTGGGTATGCAAGCTAGGACATCAACCCAGAGAAACAATACCAAACCTACCTCATCAAATATAACATATCTGATCCTTTTCACCCAATTCTGGCGATGAGGAGAGAGCAGCAGAATTTCAAAACATGCAGGCTCCGTGATAAGCACCTAAAAATATGAATGCTTAGTATAGCTAACTTTATAAAGCATTAATTTTTTGTCAGAAATGGCAACAGAAGCCTAGACAATACATTGCTGCCAAGGGCAGTCTCAGTAAGATCATATCATATCTTTGACACTTGTTGTTGAGGTTCTTACTTTTATGAACATTTGAATGAATGAAAATGAAGAAAGCTAATCCTCTGTAATGATTGTTTAATATTTTGTTTGTTCTTAAATCCTTGCCTTGCAAATTCAGTATGGGAGACAATCTGTCCTTATCTATGATTTATCCAACAACAGAACCACTAGCGAAACACAAGCTTATTAAGACAAATTTTTACTCTGAGGCTCCTTAAATATTGTTCACATGAACACACAAATGGAAAGAAGAGCTTGAGTAGTTATTTAATAACACACTGGGTTTGCCAAATCTACTAGAATCATTTCTAAGGTAGAATGAGATATAACAACCTACCACTGGAAATTTCAGATCATAAAGTCAGTGTCCTTAGAGAACAATAAGACTCGTTCGTACTCTTTAGAGTAGAACAACCTAAAATTCTCCTATTAGGGACTGGCACGAGTGGGAAACTGCCAGGGAAGGGCGGGGCCAGGGTTGGCAGGAGTGGGAAACTGCCAGCGGCAGTAGGGAATCTCATCAACAAAGGTACCTACATAATGAACACCGGTATACCTAACCCTGAGTTGTACCCCATATATTAAAATAATTTTTTTTTTCCTCTTAGCAATTTCATTTACTTTAAATTCAATGAAAATATTTCCATAAGGGCTTATGACTTTGCAGAATTTCAGAAAAAAAGCTATGCGAGTACTGTTCTATAATTTGACAATGATTTCATTAATCAGGACATCGTACCTGGCAGTTTAGTACATTGTAACGGTAATCTTTGGTGAAAGCACCGCACAGAGCTTTGCCGTGCGGCAACTTTTTAGTAAAACGATTCAGAACGGTTGCTGCCACTTGACCAACAAGAGCCTGATTGATAAGAGAAAAGATCTGTTAGTCACTTAAGTAGAGAATAGACATAGATAACCTCAGAGGACTACAGAACCTGTCTACAGGTGTATTATTACACAAGGATAGGAAGTGCACACTCCTTCTTATCCCTCTATACCCAATGGCTGGATTTGGATTACTTGACTGAGCAAATAAGGCTCAAGGGATGACACGTAGTGGCGAGTAAAAAGAAAACAAGCATGGCTTCATCTAAAGGAAAAAATTCCCACACACCAGAGGGAACTTCCTGCATGATCAAGGCTTAAAGAGAAGAGGTGAGTCTCTGAGAGAAGGAAGATTCAGTGAGGAATAACCAAGACAGGCTTGGCACGCTCTGGCCTGGGACCGCCTCAGACTTCTTTCACCAGAATCACGTTTTGGGCCCCTCAGGTCGCTTGGCCAGTTGAAACTGAGAACCTCTATCTACTTTATGCCTCATGAAATAATAAAAGGAAGGAAGGAAAGGGAGAAGACGAAGTGGGAAAGAAAGAAAAAGGACGCCAGGCTTGGTGGCTCAGCCTGTCATCCCAGCACTTTGGGAAGCCGAGGCGAGTGGATTGCCTGAGCCCACAGGTTCGAGACCAGCCCAGGCAACTTGGCGAGACTTCGTCTCTACAATAACAAATAAAAAATTAGCCAGGTGTGGTAGTGTGTGCCTGTAGTTCCAGCTACTTGGAAGGCTAAGGTGGAAGGATTGCTGGAGCCCAGCAGATCGATGCTGGGGTGGCTGTGAGCGTGCCACGGTACTCCAGTCTGGGTGACAGAATGAGACTCCAACTCAAAAAAGGAAAGAAAGAAGGAAGGAAGGAAATAAAGAAAGAAAGAAAGAAAGACAAAGGAAATAACTAAAATGTAAATTTTCAAAAATTAGCAATTAAAAATATTTCACAGTCATTGCTTTTATATCTTTGAGTGTAGAATATTTTCCCAAAATAAAGACAAATACAATAACCAAGAATGAAAATATTGATATAGTAGATGAAATGAAAACATAAAAAACAGTTTCTTAAAAACAACTATAAATATAGTGAAATGGGAAAATATCAAAGTGGAAAACAGCATTTTTTTTTTATGTCACAGAAGGGCTGCATATGCCTAATCTATATAATATTCTGATTTGATCAATAAAAAGACAAATTCTTCCCAAAAGAAACCATGCAAAATGCATGAAAAGTAAGTGGGTGATTCACTAAAGGAGAAAGACGAATACCTCAAAAGTACATGAAAAGATGCCTGGACTCACAAGTAATCATGCAGATGTTGATAAAAATATCAAAGATACCAGTGTTCATCAGTCAGTTTCAGAAAGAAAAAAGTTTAAGACGGGAAGACCGTGCAGTGGACACACTCATGCCATGCTGCTGGTGAAAATCTCAACTTGCTGGCTCAAACTTCTGTGGGGGCGGTGATTTATATCAACATATATAAAAAGTACTTTGACCTCTCAATTCCACTCTAGCAATCTCTATGTATTCCTTTTCACTCACTGAAAACTTACTGCTTTTTAAATAAAAGACAATAAAACCATTTTGAGAGATAAACAAAGTTCTAACTTTAATGAAACACGAGGCTTTATTTGGTTTGAGGCTGAACCCACCTCTTTTGAAACACTTGATTGATCAAAGGAGACCTAACTGTAAAGTAAAATGAAAAGAAACAGGACTTTATCAGAGGGAAAGAATAGAGAGGATTCTAGCACATCAGAAGAAAGAGCTAAATAGCCTTATTAAAAAGATGCACGAGTTCGTCTTTCTATAAACCGAAACACAAAGAATGGCAGTCGTCCAACTGTATGTGCCCCCTTTAAAGTGACATTGGGAGCCGGGCTCGGTGGTTCAGCCTGTAATCCCGCACCTTTGGAAGGCTGAGGTGAGTGGATTGCCTGAGCCCACGGGTTCAAGACCCGCCTGGGCAGCGAGACCTCACCTCTACAATAAATCAAAAAATCAGCCAGGTGTGGTAGTGCACGCCTGTAATTCCAGCTACTCGGAAGGCTGAGGCGGAAGGATTGCCAGAGCCCGGCAGGTCGAGGCTGCGGTGGCTGGGAGCGGCCACTGCACTCCAGTCTGGGCAACTGAGTGAGACTCCAACTCAAAAAAATAAAAAATAAAAAATAAAAAATAAAGTGACATTGGGGATAAGAACGTGTAAGTTTATGCTTCCTAAAAACCCAGTTGCCGCCTAAAAACCCAGGGGTTTATGTCAGGTATTATTTTTATTTCCAAGTCTAGCATTACACATAACTAGACAAAAAGAAGACATGTCATTATATCCTGATTGGAAAACAGGACATTTGCAAAGCCCCAAACAGACACAGCTTATAAGTCCTGCAGAGTGTCCAGTCCTGAGGTGACACAGGATGGCTCAGGAAAGTCAGTGCTTCTTTCCACCAAGCATCTGATACCTGATCTTAGAGCAACGTCAAGAGGGCCAGACTTGTCCCTCCTCCTAGTTCTAAGGGGAGTTATTGTGGGAGGAGAAGGCACAGGTTAAAAAGTGGAGTAAACAAGACCTGCCTTATGGCCATGTGCCTTTGCCCTCAAGGGGAGGTTTGGAATGAGAGGGGAAGGGCAAGGGGCTGAGCTACCTTATTTGGGGCCACGTAGACAACCACCCCGTCATCGCTGACCTTCAGCACCTTCTCCATGCAGTAGTAGGAAATGTAGGTTTTGCCTGAGGATGTGGGGGCCATGATCACTGCTGACTCGTAGTTATCCACCACATCCAGGAGCTCTCGCTGCAGGGTTCAGAGTGTCATTTGGTCAGGAAAGTCAACAGCACGTCAACAAAGCAAGAACAGCATCCTTTCCATGCTCTGTGTCCTGTGCCTGTGTCGGGCTACACACAGGAGACGGCAGACCTTCGACAGCAGGCGCAGTTCACTCAGGAGGACTTGGGAATGTCTGACTACCACACCATTCCCGCAGAAAAGAGACTTATTTTACATACTGGCCTGGAGGGAGAGTTTCATTTCTGCAAAATGGAACATGAGCCCGAGGGAAACATCCATTTCCAACAGAAAACACTTTTCCTGTTACTTGTCATTTAGTGAGTACAGAAAATTGGCAAAATTGAGTTCTGAGGGCTAGTCGTGCCACATCGGCTCGGCTTCACATGCAAACAGATGTCACTCTCTCTTCTCCTGATGGAGAAAGTAAAGCCAAGAGGGGAAAGTGAAGAGTTCCTCCTGCTCTGGTTGCATTCTCCAACACAGGAGGAAAATGACATTAAGCAAGATTAAGAAGTTTTATGCAAAACACAGTATGTGGAGACAGGGATGAGAAAATCTGAAGTCACGCTGGCCGGGAGATGGAAGGTTGGCCGTCATTACCTGCCATGTGTCGGGGACAAAATCCTGGACTCTGAAATCTGGATCTTTCCTTTCCTCTCTCATCAAGTGATGGCCCATATGCTGCAGCTGAAATCGAGCTGGCCCAATGCCAACTGAATATTCATTACTTGTCTTCCTTTTCTTGTCATGTCCTGTCATCTGTTATTATTTTAATACATTATTTTCTTTGAAATCATCTTAAATTTCAAAATTGAATAAGCATTTAATAGATCCCCACTGAGCACACCCCATGCACCAGGCACGTGTGCCACACTTTTAAATAGTGTAATATCTGAGTAATGTGAGTCTTAACCACCTAAAATATTATTCTCAGTATATATAAAACAGCACATATTAATGTTTCAAAAAAGCTCCTCCTGGAATTGGAAGCTAGAAGCCTATTAAAGGCCATTCTTTAATCTCACCACAGTTTTTAGATACTGTGCTAGAAACAAGTACAGGATTTATTCTTGTTACCAAGAGAGTTCAAAGTGGCATCTAAATATCATCTGGCTTTTGATCTCTGCCTTTAGGAAGTGTCTGTACAAATTTTCTAATTTTAATCTACTTTAAATTTGGCAGATAGGTGCTAATAAATAGTCTAAAATCTGTGTTTTATAGACAAGGATGAGAGTAAATATATTCAGTGGATAACTCTGTATATGAGATGTTTTATGATACGTGTTCATTATGTACCATATCAAAATATAGTAGAAATTAAAAGTAATGAGAAATTCTGCTGATCTTACCAGGGTTGGAGCTAAAGAGGTTGCCAAATTATGAAAGCCCAAATATTCAAGGCATTTAGCTATAAATTGCTGATGTTCCTCTTCCAGATGTTCTGAGTATCTCTCCAGGAGCGAGTGGATCCTTTTCATCATTTGAACAGCTATACTTAAATCTTTTGAAACGTTGCCTTGTTAAAAAACAATAACATTGTTACAAAGAGCATTAGCAATAACTGCTTGATCACTCATGGGAATTATCTCAACAACCAATTAACCTAATCACGATTTTACTTGACTTTAATGGAAGTTTTAGAGCATAAACTACTAAAACTCATGATTCAATAAAATTAATGCTCTATTCACATTTCATTGTCATCTTATACAACTTACAAATAACCAAGTAAGAGCAACCAACTTTGTAACTCCCAGCAGAAAGAAGCACCATTTAAACTGAGATCTGAACAAGCTTCCAGAGGAAAATAACACAGTAACCCACATGTGGGTTCAACTCTGTGTGCAACCCTGCAACTTTCAGAAACCTGACCAAAACATCAGCAGCAGTCACCGAGGCCAACTCTTGACAGCTCGCGGTGTTTGCATTTGAGAAACGATCACTGAAACCCTTCATTCATGGAGAGCTGTTATAGAACCCCAGTGCACCTCAACGCAGAGTCTTCTAAGCTCTTTTTAGAACCTCATGTTCACACATAGCCCCGTTCTGTCTCACTACGAACCGTTTCAGATAAAGCCAGAACTTCTGTAGCGCTCTCTTTCTTAACAAATGCCGCTGAACATATACTTACACAGATCGTCTGTACATGCTTTAAGGAAGCACAGAAGACATTCAAAACAGACTGCCTACATTCAAGAACTTTTCATCTCATTAGGGAAATAAGGGACGGGTGTTGAGACAGATGAGGAAAATATCTCAGGGATCTATAATTTGGGGTCTAAAAGCAGTGACGGAGGCCGTGTGTGTCTATGAGCTGGAGGAGCTGGGAGCCTTTGCAGGAAGCTGGGCCATCGACTGGCCGTGGAGCACCGACGGGGTTTAGCAGATGGAACCAAGGCATCAGAGGACATCTGTGGCCGAAACCACTCATGGCCTCTTCCACATCCATTCTCACTCAAGTCTTTCTTACCAATCCCCGTGTGAATGGTGACTCTAATGCGCCCAATTAAAAGTCCATATTTTCTACTCTCTCTGTGGTCAGGTATGGCTTTGTAACTAAGTTTGATCATTGAGATGTAAACAGAAATTGGTGGAATTTCTGGGAAGTCTCCTTGAATGGGGAAAACACAGCAGCAAAGGTACACATTTGCCTTTTGTTCTTCCTCCCACTTTATTCTGGAATACGTCCATCATGCCTGGAGCTTCAGCAGCCAGTTGCACCCACGACATACTTCAAGGACACAAGCCGTGCACGAAGGATGGAACAATATGGCGGCAGAGAAGCCCGAGGCCCCCAGTGACCCTAAAGACAGCCGCAGCAGCCGTGAACGCCTATCTCTGGACTTCTTTACACGAAGAAGAAATGAAATTCTATCTGCGTTCAACCATTGTTACTTCCTATCTCTGTTGGCAGTGAGCGGCAGTTCCTAACTGATGCTCCGTCTTGGATAAGTAAAAGCACACAAGCTAAAGCTTAGAGATGGAAACAGGCATGGTTTGCAACAGCCTGCTGAGGGTCTGTAGGCTTTGCTAAAGAGACATGAGCATGAACAAAGAATCGTGTGGCCAGTCAAGAGAAGGCTCAGAGTAGAAGATGCCCAAAATAGACAACCAGCTAGAATGACTTGAGAAGGAACCGTTTGTCTGATCTAGCATCAAACTTACATAGCTCTACTCTGCCTTTCCTCTGGCTCTTTTCCCTAGCTCTCTCTTCCACAATTCAATATTCGGGGAAAAGAGTAAAAGCACAGGGTGTGTGCATCCGATGAGGAAAGGATCCCTGAAAACAGCGCACACATGGTTCCCTTGGCGTATTTCACCCTTGCGCTCCACTGCCTTTGGAGATGTTGACAAAAGGTAGCACAGAGCACAGGTGCCGCTAACTGGAGGGAACATGCAGAGGACCAGGCAGGCATATCCCATTTCTACCGGGTTGCTTCCTGCCAGGCCGTAGTCTAGAAATGGTTGTGTCCCATTACCTAAGACCCAGCTGCCCTGGGCAACTGTCCCTGGTAGCCACAGCTCTCAAGGAATGCTGGAGACCAACCTCTTCATTTGCTCCTGTGGAGAACTGTGAAAGGCCTGAGATTTGGCCCTATTTATAATCTAACGATGTAGTCTTCATTGTTTTGTGAATACTGGCAAAAGACACAAGACTCCTGGGTCCAAGACAAAAGAACGTATAATTCACACACTCCTAACAACATGAGCATCATGTATAGGTCAGTTCCTCTGTGCTCCATGGGGAGGGCACAGAGCTAGACAGGAACTGCACAAATGGTAGATATGAGTCCCAGCTCAGGAGCTCTGAACTTAGAAAACCCAAATCTTTCATAATAGGTTTCAAGCAAAGTTGCCCCTTCACTCTAGAGGAATACACTGTCTCTGTTATGCCAGACAGTGAATAAACATGTTCTCTGCTTTAGAGGGAAACACAATCTCTACCTTCGCAGGGTGTTCACTGTCCAAACATACTCGAAAAGACAGTCTGGAACAAAAGCTGCCAATGCCTTTGCTTGTGGGGAAGCAGAAACCCGGAAGACCCCGGAGCCACCCCCCAACCACATCTTCACGTCAACCTAGGGCCGGGGCCCTCTCTGCAGCTGCTGCTGGGCCTCCCTGCACTTGCTGGTCCCCTCACTGCCCCACCCTTGGAAAGAGTCTTCTTTGCACTCTCTTCAATTTATTTTCAAATGTGCTACCTTTTCTCTTTTGAGGCCCTGCCTCTCAACTGCTCTGCAACTGCATTTCCTGATCTGCAAAATAAGCATAACAACTATCTTGATAGATAGTAAAATCAGACAATGTATTATATAAACTTTTAGCACGACCTTGCATTCAGTAAATATGCTCATATCATTAATATTGCCATCACTGCTCTTACCCATATCACATAGAATCACACACCTTTGTCTCGGCAATGGTCTTCCCAGGCTTTAAAGCAGGCAGTTAACCCTGCCATTTCGACTTCAAATTTCACTGAGTCCCTTGGACAGGACCTCAAGTAATCTTCCAACTTCTGTATTCCAGAGTTGAGATTCCTTTTCATCTCTTCTTTAAGAGAAGATGACAGGTATCCCCATTGTTCTTTTTCTTTTAGCTCTTGTTTGAGAATTGACTTTTTCTTTTTCTTCCTAATTTTTTTGGGTTCAGTGTCCTGCTCAATAAGAAAGGATTATCTCATGAAACAAGTGGAAACATCCAGAATGACATTTCATTACTTAGAAGTGTTTTTCATGGTTTACAGAGGACTTTGGCCACCATCCTGGTCTTACACTTGCCCATTCTTTATGCCTTTAAAAAAAAAAAAGATTTAACTTAAACTTCAGTATCAATGTAAATAGCCTCTCACTGTAGAAAATTTTCTCAATTTTGGCTGGTGTCAATTATGACTGGTGTCGAAATGGAATAAAACCAAAAGGAGAAAGAACGGCCACTGAGCTTGATTGCAGGGAAACTTTGTAGGGATTTAGTAATTCACTTGCTTTTCATTCTCCACCCTTCAACGCATTTGGAGCCTTCCCCATCCCACCCACTCTTTGGAATTCATCTTGAAAAATAGCAATGGTCTAAGCAGATATTAGGGAATGAAGAAAAAAATGCAGAAATCTCACTGGGAAATGAAGGCATCACATACACAGGGGTGGTCATTTTTCAAACTCCCCCTCCAAAATTGGATCTACTACTTGATTCTCATTTTGCTTGTATTGCAGTGCAGAGGACACTCTGCGCCTCACTCTACCAAGGTGGCAGGACTGAACAAGCCCTGCCCAGCTCCTGGCCCTGTGATCAGCACTGCCCAGGAAGGAGTAGGCGCCAAGGCCTGAGTCCCAGGGCAAGCCTTGGGTGCAGGGCTTCGCTAAGTACAAAGCCCAACCAGGCGAGACCCCTGCAGAACAGCTGGGGAAGGTGGTGGCTTCTGGACGCTGTGTTCACTTTGATCCTACGCTTAAAGCCAAGCTTATACTCTGTCTGAGCCAGTCCTACCTGGCCACCCTCAGCCCAGAGTAAGTAGGTCTGTGGGTTAGGTGGACCCCTTACAGTCAAAGCACATGGTCTGGGAGCACAGGATATGGCCAGATGGAACTTTGAGACAGTTCTAAGAGACAGCCCTCACAGCAACGCTGAGAATCCTTCAGGGAATTGGCAATGCCCATTCAGCGTTATTGTGAATGGCCTTGTGGAGACATCGTCCAACTGCTGGGTATTTCCTTGCAGGCTTTCGCCTTCAACCTGGTGACTGAATTGAAGGTCTGGCAAGGAAGGAAGACTCCAGCTCTCTGGCTAAGAATTTCCTAAAATTGGTTGGAAGAAGAAATGTTTCTGTGCTCTGGTTTTTTGTTTTCCTCTGTGACCTTTCTGTTTCATTTTCTGAAACATTTTCTCACCTACTCCAACTTAGTAAGACAGCTATGATCAATGCCTTTGGTCATCAATAGCATGGTTTGTACTCTCTCAAATATTTAGCTCTGCTGACCTCAGGAGGAGGGGTGAGTTACCAAAACAATTGTTTTTCCTTAACTTCCAACCATGAGACCAGAGAGCTGAACTGAAGTCTAATAAAATCCCCTCTGATAAAGAATGATTGCAAAGTAGTATCTTCCCAGGCAAAGAATAAAATCAACCATTCATTCAGTTAGTTATAAACACTGTGATTATATTATCTGATCCTTTTCCACATTATATTTTAAAATATTTTAAAATATTTTTTAATTACATGATTCTAAGTATGTACATAAGTACAGTCCAAGGCCAAGGGCAGGAAGAGGAAGGAGATAGGCACAGAGGAGGCTACCCTTACAGGAAGAAGACATGCTCTTACCTTCAGGATAAGCAGTTGTGTCTCAGAGAGACTAATGGCACAAATGATATATAAACATAGATAGCTTTCAAAATTTAGGCAAAATAATGTCTCATGAATATGTTAGAACAATTTTTACCACCTATATGCAAAAAGAGTTTCATTGCAACAATTAACAAACATGTATTTTAATATAAATTTGACAATTTAAGTGAAAATTAGTCCCAGAGTAGCTGGCTGGTACTAATTTTTTTTAATTATTTTTTTAGAGAAGAGGTCTCCCTGTGTTGCCCAGGTTGGTCTCAAACTCCTGGGCTCAATTAATCCTCCCACCTTGGCCTCCCCAAAATGCCGGGATTACAGGTGTGAACCACTGCACCTAGCCAAATTTGACACTTCTAAACCCAAATTCATAATTCCTCAATGCCTTACATTCCTTAGCACATAAATCTACCTTTTACTGGCATAGAAAGAATGAACTACTGGATTCTATGTGTTTGTTTCTTAGAATTTCTAATGGCAAGGAAATAAAACCATCACTCATTTGCAAGCAAGCATGAGAAAGAACAGCATGGAAAAAACCTCCCAAGATAAACAAATATGAGTTTAAGGAATGAAAAGCAATGTCAAGGAGAAAATTAGGTAAATTCCATAGACTCTACCTGTAATATTTCACTGTTAGCACCACTGGAATTCTTCTCTGTCTGGATAGTTTGAGTCACAATTTCTTTTGTGGAGACGGATTCTAATGATTTTCCATACGATCGCTGATAAGCCTGAGTCATTTTCAGGAAATAAAGAACACGATGATCTCCAGATTTTTCTGAAATGAAAAGACTTAAAATGTATACATGTTTTTGGAGACATTGTTATATATGCATGCTACCCACACATTCTTTTTTTAAAATTTTGGCTCATGAACAATAATTTAGTCTTTGTTAATGAGGTCGGACTGTAATATATTGATAAAGTAAATCCTTATCTGAGAAACAGAGCACAAAAAGCTCTCCAAGAGTATCTGGACACTTCCTCTGTCATTTGGTTGGAGAAAAGAAGCAGAGGCAGGTACAGGCAGTCAAATAGTGTATTCATCTAAAACAGGGCCCACAAACTAAGCCCCAAAAAGTCAAATGTGACCAGCATTGTGTGTGTGTGTGTGTGTGTGTGTGTGCGCGCGCACGTGCGTGCGAGTGCACACTTTTGAACTAAGATTTTTCTTTTTTTACTTTTTAAATGGCTATACTTTAAATGATTATATAAGTACCTATACTATGCCCTCAGTTTTTGCCTCTTGGCTTGCAAAGCCTAAAATGTTTTCCACCTGGCCTTTTCTGAAAAAGTTTGTTGATCCCTGATCTAGAATATCCTATTTGCATCCCTGAAAAGGAAAGCCCCTACTTCTGGCCACAGTCAAAAGTTTAGGAGCTTACAGACAAGAGAAGCTAATAAAGCTAATACAAAAAAATTATCTCTCACCATGCAAGAACTCAAATGCCAAAGAAAATTCCAGAAAGCAAGAGTAGACTCGCTTGAGACCTAAGACATGCTCTTGACAAACATAAAAGATATAAAGAAACTGGTGTTTTGTTGTTGTTTTGTTTTTGTTTTTTGAGTTGGAGTCTCACTCTGTCACCCAGACTGGAGTGTAGTGGCCGCTTCTGGCCACCGCAGCCTCGACCTGCTGGGCTCTGGCAATCCTTCCAAGGAGCTGGAACTACAGGCGCGCGCTACCACACCCGGCTAATTTTTTGATTTATTGTAGAGATGAGGTCTCGCCAAGTTGCCCAGGTGGGTCTCGAACCTGCGGGCTCAGGCATTCCACTCACCTCAGCCTCCCAAAGCACGGGATTACAGGCTGAGCCACCGAGCCCGGCTTGTTGTTGTTATCCTATGTCTGTATATGTGATCACAAATCAAGTCATTCTGGAAGCACACCATGCAGAGTCTCGGTGGGTTGTTACATAAGCAGGCTTCTTTATCTGTGCAATTATTGGCATGCTTACTTCACACATTTCTAGATCCTTCTAAAAAATTTTACTAGGCCTGTAAAGGGAGGGTATAAACACAGGGTTGGAGAAAGACAGACTACAAAAAAAAAGAATGAGCCAGGAAGAGAAGATCTACTCATTCATTTTCTCAGGGCTCATTTTTAATCGTTTCACGGGCTTCCCTATTTGTGAACTCAGCCCCTCCTTGTTGCTGAATTTTCATGGACACAATTGGGTGGGAACTTATCAGCATGCAGTGAACCAGACAACCGTGTAGCATGAAATGAGCTGAAATTTTAGGAAGACTAAGGTTGTATCAGCATATGTACTCCCAGGGACTGACGGATTCCTTAAATCATAAACTGTCATTCCCACTCACAACAATATCTAATGCTTTTGATGACAATGCCGTTTATGTGTGCCTCCTGGTAAGATGACTAAGTCTCCATTTGACTGAAAAATATAGTTGCATGCATTTGTACACATGCACACTGTTAAAGAGCGGGACTTTTCTCAGACAACACCCTTCTTAAAGTGTTGCTTCGATTAGGCATGCACTCACCTCACTGAAAATATAATTCGTGTCTATCATGTAATGCTTATACACTATTCAAAACAGAGCAGAAAGGGCACATCATATAAGCTCTATTTTATCATGGCCGCAGAGCCTACCATCAAAGAGACACTTGACCCTGTCATACTCGTCACTAAGGAGTCTGTGAGCTTGCCAGTGGAGAAGTTTGTCAGATTTATTTTGTGTAATCAGCGAAGTAACAACTGGATCATCACTGTAAAAATAAATAATTTTTTTTAAAAAATTTAGGCTTTTCAAATTTTAACACAAACTTCATACTGAAAATATAGAAACCTTACAACTCTTGTTTTTATGATACAGTGTGGATCATAAAATCTCAAGAGACACAAGAACCCTAAATCTCTACCATCTAACAGTCTTATTAACATCAATAACAATTTATTGAATCTTGCATAGCTAAAATAACTTCGTTATAAGTTCAAAACTATACAGTCATTTATCTAGCAATGTGCAAATCATATCAACACATTAGATATTATATTCACTTGAATACATTAGTCATATCATTACATATCATTTACTACATCCAGATATGATATGTTACATTGATATTTTAAAGAGTCATTCACCCTACGAGTATTTCAGAGTTCATAGCTTTAAATTAGACGCTTTGTAAACTCTAACCTCTTTAGAATAGGCAAATCCTTCATCACGTCTCCAACAAACGCATCTATCACAGCAGATGACATTGGAATACAACTCAGAATAGGAATCTCCTTCACAGAAATTTCTGAAAACAAACACAAAATTAAGATGGTAGGAAATGCACAACTATTCTATAAGAATTTCGAACAACATCTTCAAAATTTTTTAGACGTAGTATTTTGCATGAATCTTATCAATGTTTGCCAACTTAGCTCTTCCAAATGAGATATTCCTCACACCAAACAAATTGGAGCAAATAAGACTCCGAAGAAGTGATACAGAGTCATTTAGATAGGCAGGTATATAGATGGTAGCAGGTAAATCACTGATAGACTAATATAGGTTTTCCATTTCCAAATGCTTGTCCTCTGTATTATTTCCTAAGACACAGTAAAAATATATATATATATAGCATGTGAAAAAAGAAAAGCCACTCAGAGTTCACCTATAGGTAAGAGTCCATGAAAATAAAATGACAAATAGAAGGAAATTCATAATAAAATTTCTCTATCCCTGACTACTCTTTGGGACCTTGAATTTTTATTTTCATGATTCCTATGTGTGAATTACATGCTGAATATGGTAATAGACTACAGAGTATTTAAATTAGCTTTGTTCATAATTATAGATGAAAACATTGTGATCCTTCTCCTCCTCTATTCCTAAATTCTGGGCAGTATTCTTCCATGGGCATTCCAAATTCCCATTTGCATTCCTCCATTTGTAGCTCTGACATTCTTTTGAGATCATTTCTTTCTCTGTGAATTATATCCTATACAAATATGTTCAATGAGGGTATGATGTAAGTTAACTCAGTTCTTATGACTTTGAAAAATATCTGTATTATTTCCTCATTTTTCAATTGTACTTTTGCTGGTTACACTATCTTCTAACAATACCTATTTTGTCTCATTGTAAAAATTGCTGCTGTTTAGAAGTCTGCTAACAGTTTGATTTTTGTTTCTTTGTAAGAGACAAAATTATCTCTAATTCTTTTTTAAAAATACTTTTTTTGTATGCAGTAGTTGTATTATAATGTATCTAGTTTTTTGTGTGTCCCCTATTATGAGATTTATTGTGTATACTAAACTCAAGTATTCAGTGTCTTTCATTAATTCAGGAATAAGTTTAGTCATTATCTCTTTGACTATTTTTTCCTTGGATGTCTCCATTCTCTGCTTCTGAAACTCCAATTGGACATGTGGGTGACTCAAGGTAATCAAGGGTTAGGGAGATTGGAACGTTAGAGTAGATTTATCATGTAAGATCTGCTTGCTTGCACCATGAGGGTGAGGAGGACATATCTTTCGCTGTAACTGTGAGAAAATTGTGAGAGGAACCACAGAATTCTTGAATAGTTCCGTAGTTATGCCACACTGTAAGTCACAAATTACGGTGGAAACTGCTACCATCATGCTGGGATTCCCTAAATGGGATAGAGATAACTCAATCCTTGGGCGGCTGGGGCCAAGAGGTAGCATCTACTCACTAAAAACAAGGTGGTCATGGTTACCATAACAGACAGTGAAGTCAAACCCGTAATCTGAACAGTAACTCACAGAGACCTATGGCACTGGCTTGTTGATCATGGCTCTTAGAAAAGAAATTGATGGACATTCTACTAAATTCTAAATTGGCCATTATAGGAGGAAGAGCTCTAGGGAAAGTGGACAGAAGTCTACCTGAATCACCAAGAGAGTCATGGCTCTTTAATCAGCACCTAAGCTCGAACCATGTCATAGACCCAGAATCCCTTCACCGAAGGGGCGGCTGAGTGCCCTTGCAAAAGGACCCTGCCATACTGCCAAGACTTACACTGTTCATCTTTCTCCAGTCTTTCCCGAGGGGACCTACAACCATTTATCAGGGCAACTATGTGTTGGGGAAAGGGAAATAATCAGACTTTTCAGGACATTACTAGACACTGTTTCTGAACTGACACTAATTCCAGAAGACACAAGATGTCACTGCCCTCCCCCAGTACCGCCTCCCAAGCCAGAGTGAGGGCCTAAGGCGGTCATGTGACTGATGGAGGTTTAGCTCAGGTCCTGTTCTCAGTGTGCTCCTGAATCCGCCGTGTGGTTATTTCACCAATTCCAGAATGCATCATTGGAACAGGTCCTGTTGGTGCCCTGACAATCGGCAGAATCCCCCTGTTGGTGCCCTGACCTGTGGAGGGAGGGAGGCCTACCACAGAAGCCACTAGAACTGCCTACACTTGGAAACATAGGAAACCAAAGTAGTGCTACGTTCCTGGAGGGATTGCAGAGATTAACTAAGGACCTGAAAAATACAGGGGTTGTGATTTCCATCACACCCATGTTCAACTTGACTGGCTTGTGCAGAAAGACCGATGGAGTCTGGAGGTGGACAGCAGGTTATTGCCAGTTTGACCCTATGGTTGCTGTTCCAGATGTGGTTTCGTCGTTCAAGAAAAATAACATATCTCCTGGGACCTGGTGTTCAGCTGTGGATGTGGCATTTTTCTCCATCCCTGTTAGTACAAGACCACCAAAAGCCGTGTGCTTTCAGCTGGCAAGACCAGCAATATACATCCAGTACCCCTACCTCAAGGGTTTATCAACTCTCCAGCCCTATGTCATAATTTAGTCCTCAGGGAATTTTCCTGGGGAAACATGTTTACCTTTCTACAAATCAACCCACTAGTCTATCACATTGATGATATTATGTTGCTTGGACCCAGCGAGCAAGAAGTAGAAACTACTTGGCATATCAGTGAGACATGTGTATGTTGAAGGTAGGAAATAAATTCAACAGAAATTTAGGGACTTTCCTCTTAGGCAAAATTAGTAGGGGTCTAGTGGTGTGGAGCATTTCAAGATATGCTTTCTAAGATGAAGGGTAAATCATTGCATCTGATGCCTCCTACAACAACAGAAAAAGAGGCCCAATGCCTAGTACGCTTCTTTGACTTTTGGAAGCAGCATTCAAGGTTTGACAATTAAGTTCACAGACTTGCCACTGTGTGCTTACATTGGCAGCACTGTACAAACAACTTAATAATATTTCACAACCTTGGTATATGAGTGCCTCACAGCTGGGTTCGTGTCAACATGCGCAGTGACTTGTGAGTGGCATTCAGCATTGTTGTTGTTGCATGTTTTGGTGTGCCATTGTGAGAATGTCAGAGCTTGAATTCGAGCAACACACAAACGTTAAATTTCTTGTTAAGCTTGGTAAGAGTGGAAGTGAAATCAGGGGCATGTTATTCTAAGTATATGAGGATAGTGCCATGAAGAAAACAGCAATGTTCAAATGGATTAAACATTTTTTTGAGGGGAGAGAAAGCATCACTGATGAAGAGAGGTCAGGACAACCAGTAACAAACAGAACTGGCTAAAACACTGCAAAAATTCATCGAATTGAGTGTCAAAATTGTCAGCTGAGTGTGAGAAGCATAGCAGACCAAACAAACATCGATAAAGAAGAGTTAGGAAAATCTTCACTGAAAATCTTGGCAGGAGAAAAGTATGCTCCCAAAGGAGATCTTGCATCACATCAATGTACCAGCTAACACAGCACACTGTCTTTGAGGTAGTTTTTAGCCAGTAAACAAATAACTGTATTGAAACACCCTCCCTACCCACCCGATCTGGCTCCCAGTGACTGTTTTCTTTACCTGAAGATAAAGGAATACTGAAAAGAAGACATTTGGATGACATTCAGGCCATCAAGGGTAATATGATGACTGCTCTGATGACCATTCTAGAAAAAGAGGTCCAAAATTGCTTTGACAGGCGGACTAGGCGCTGGCATTGGTGCATAGCTTCAAAGATGACTGCAGTGATATTCAGTAATGAGGTATGTAACACTTTTTCTAAGAAGAGCTTGCTAACTTAATTATCAGAGCTCATACTCCTTACTTAGGTGTGCTATTCTGACCTACTTATTGAGTGACTCAAAACGTTACTACTTTCGATTGAGGTCAAGAACAAGAGAAGGTCTGCAAGATATCCACTCTTTTGTATAAGCTGCCCTACCACTGATCAGATAGACATTACAATGCTTGAAGAGCCCGTGAAAGACACAGATACTGTGGGAAGTCTTTGGCAGGCCCCTATAGGTAAATCAAAGCACAGAGCCTTAGGATTTTGGAGCAAAGTCCTATCATCCTCCATGGGTAACAACTCTTCTTTTGAGAAATAGCTTATGCTTTGCTACTGGGCCTTCATAGAGACTAAATACAGACCCCATGAGGCAAGTAACCATGACTAGCTGAGGTGCTTGTTAAAGGGAAAGAGATTTTGGGCTAGGTAATGGAAGAAGGGAGTCACTAGCACCATCTATGACATGTGACCAGATGCAGAACTGAGGACTGTGTAACAGTCATGGATGCTCCTTACAATGCTATGTACCGATATCAAGCAAATATTTTTGTTTCCTTATCAGTTTACATACAGTGTATTAGTAGTAGTTTGCTTTATGTTACAGCATTTAAGTTACAGGATATCAAAGCAGAGGAGTGAAAGGAAGCCAATAGATTCACATCCTCTTTTGAGAAAAGAGTCAACATGTTCTTGGTTGTCTGGAGGATAGTTGTAGCATATTAGGCAGAAGCGTGATTTTGTTGTTGTCTTTATTTGGAGAATGAATATGGATCATGGAGAGGTGTATGGACACTAAGATGACAAGGGATGGACCGTGAAGGTCAGTTTCATGTGTCAATTTCATTAGACTATTGTTCCCCAGTCATTCAATCAAGCGCTAATCTAGATATTGTTGTGAAAGAGTTTTGTAGCTGTGTTTCATGGCTATAATCAATTCACTTTACATAAGGAAGATTATTCTAAGTAATATGCATGGATTGGATCCAATCATTTCAAAGTCCCTACTATACTAGCAGAACTGAGGTTTCCCTAAAATAGAGCAAATTTTACCTGTGGACTGCAGCTTCAGATCATGCCTAAAAATTCCAGCCTGCCTTTCCTTAAGACCTGCCCTACCAATTTTGGACTTACCTGGCCACCCCCTATAATCAGTTAAGGTAATACACCACAATTGATATCTTAATATATTTATCTTACTGGTTCTTTTTACCTGATAGAAACGTAACTGCTACTCTCC